TTCCCAAGTAAGATGAGTTTAAAAAATAAAAATAATCTAATTTTTATTAAAAAAAAATTAAAAAATAATTATTTTTCCAAGTAAATTTGCAAAATAATCAAATTTTGAATAAAATATTCCAGGAAATATTAAAAAAAAGATTATTTTTCCTAGTAAAATTGAAAAAAAAATCAAATTTTGTATAAAAAAGAAATAAATCATTATTTTCAATCAATAAATCAGAATATTCCGAATATTCACAATAATTTAATATATTTAAAATTTATTAAATATTCAAAAAATTACAAAATTTGAATTAAAATCACAAATAGTAAAAAAAAACAGAATTTTGCATTAAATAATCAAAAATTTGATAAAAATTACGAAATAATAAAAAAAGGATTGAATAATCACAAAGTTAATGATCTCAACTTGCGAGTCACTTCCCCCTTTTTGACGATATTCCGAGGGCTCTTTTTTCCCTCGCGCGCTTTCGCGCGTAAAAAGCTGAAGCCCGAGAGTCGATTTGTGGCTTCGAGGACGAGCCACAGCGCGTGTTATCTAATATTGCAGATCGGCAGGGAAGGTGAAGGGTTTGCCGTCCTGAGCGGAGCTCTGTTTATACCGAGATTTATATGTGGGTATCCATTATTTGAGGAATCAACCCATTTCATCCCCTAAAGCTGCTCAGTGTCTGAAATCTGAACGACGTTTCAATTTGTTTTGCTCTGGAGACTGCATCACTAAAACGGATTATTGGTGGCCCCGGATGTGAGGCTCTTGTGTGTCTGTGCGGCGATGGTTTATTTTTGCGTTTGGGGGGTGGTGGGTTTGGGGGGTTTGCGGGCACATGAGAGCAACCGCCCGGCTTTCGTGCGATAAAATATTGCGCTCTGTGACACCGATGTCAACGTCAACCGCCCTTCAACCCCCGCGTGCGCGCGCCCCGAAAAATCAGCCAGCCAAATCGGAAGTTTATACACAATACTTCCTCTCCACCTTCGGCCCTTTTTCTCATTTTCCGCGCCGCAGACGCCACCACGGCACAAATTCGATTCACTCATCGACAGATACGCGCGCGCCCCGCGTGCAAATTCCGGCCCCGCACTTTTCACCCTCGCACGAGCCCGAAATCGACGGTGTGTGCAATGGAAGTCATTTGGAAAATGACTTCACTCCCTCACTGCCGAGTGCACTCGGAGAAATCGCGGCATTAATGGCTGGCAGCGTGTGAATAGAGTGAGATAATTGATGACTTTCCACTGTTCACGCGGAGCAATATTGACTGTGCACTGAATACTCTAATTCACAAACACTCTGTAAAGAAAAATTCACACTAGAAGTAGTGACAATTAGCAAATAATCCACAGATTTGATCCACACAATCAACTGTATTAATTGTTTTGAAGAATTTTTATACTTCTGAAATTCATCTCTCAATAAATTCCTTCTTTCAAAGCAAAAACATTCAAACAGAAATTCAAAAATAATGCTTAACACTTCAATTACAGTTTAACACAGCTGATAAATTGGTGAAAAGTGTGAAAAATTAGGAAAAGAGCCAAAAAATTGACAGTCAGATTGCAAAAATTGTGAATTTTGACCATTAAAAATGATTTTCATCGTCATTCTGGGACGCCACGTGTCTTGTCTTGAGACCAAGCTGCAGTCTTAATCCTCAAAATCTCAAGTCTCAAAGGATTTGTGGTTTCACGTTCTACAAATCGTACTTTTGATAAGTAAAAACACTATAAAATCGTGAGTTTTCCGTGTAAAAACTGGATAATTATGCTTCTAATTTGAATTTTTACTTTTAAGATTCATATTTGATTTTAGAATGCAAATTTTTCATTGAGTGCGAATGCTGAAATTTGCCAAAAGGAACATAATTTCAATAAATTCATGCTAAAATACTTCACGTGTGCGTGATTTATCCCAGTGTATGTTTTTTTTTTAAACCTTCTCACATGTTCAACAACCCCAAACCATCGAAATTGCCTCGGATCGGTGAATTTGAGGGTGGCATGATTTCCACACCCCAGAAATCATGTTTTGTAATTGAATCTTCTCGATTTCGTCTGTGTGTAGATTCGCGCAAAAATGTCACATCTCTTGGCGCGGCGGAAGTTATTTTTCGCATCTCCCACGGGCCCGATGATTGTGACGAGTGAGGAATTTGGGTGCCATCAGAGCGCACAACCCCTGCGGATTTGGCGGGAAATGAAGAGACTTTCGCCATTCCCTCGCGCGCTGCACCGCAAATTCATGCCAGTCCACCTCGAGCATCCAATCACGCGGATTCCGCAGAAACTCCCTCGGCGATACGCATTTGCCAATGAGTCTCAGAAGACATCAAAGGAATCTTCGTCTCCTGTGCATGGCGCATTTGCACAAGACGCTGGCGGTCTGAAGAATGACGCAATTGACGGGTGGATTTGGGGCGCTAATTTGACTTCAATTGCTAAATCAACACAAGACGTTGCGCGACAAGTGAGAAGATTGAAAGGCAAAGGAGAGACAATTTTATTGACACAAACTCACTTATTTGTGCGCAATTAAATTCCCATTAATCTCACTTTGAGACACGCAAATCGATTGTGTCACACTCCAATGATATCTTGCCATCTCTCTGGGCTGCCAAGATGGGCGGAAGAGTTTACTCAGGAATGTTCATTACATCTCCTTCGGCAAACTACATCACTGAGAGCGCACACGAAAGGTTATTAAGTACTCAAATGTCTTGGCACGAGAGTCAATATTCCAGCTGTGCCGGGGATGAAATTAATTAGCACTTAGTGGGCAAAAAAAAATATGATTCCTCCAGTCAAGGTGATTAGATTAACGTCTTTTTTTCCTCTGCCAATATCCAACAATCATGCATGAGTGAGACGTTATCTGCCAGCTGGTGAATTTATTGTGAGGTCAGACAGTTTAAGATACACTAAAGTACATAAAACTAAATAATGGAGTGTATTTAACCCAACTCCCTTCGTCCTTAATGCTCTGCGCCGAGAGCCAAGAGGGCGAGGAGTGTATTTTTTGAAAAGCTCTGGAAGGGGGAGAAAAATGATCAGAGATGGGCAAATGGAGTGCTATTGACGGAGGACTGACTCGCCCCACAGTCAAGGCATTAAAATCATATAAGTAGATTATAAATAAAGACAGAGCGAGAGAGAGAGTCATTTAATGTCCCGAAGAGATAATGAGACTTTCCCAAGAGGGCTTCTTTTTGTCCACATCCTTTGTGTGTGTGTGCTTTTTCCCAAGGGACAGATAATACGGCTAAATAGTGTACAAATTCTGTGAAGAATCACAGACACTTCCAGAACATTTGCAGTGCTTAAAAAATTTTTCCAACTGTCTAAAGTAACATAACCTCAAATTTAGAAGTCTTTGTACCAAAAAAGACGCAATTTTTACTTTTATGTCTATGAAAATTCACAAAGAAACAGTATTTTAGATATTTTCAGCCCATATTTTATAGCATGATTAAATTTTCAATCGCTTTTTGGATACACTTTTAATCATAACCTGAAAATTGCCTTAAGAAATCAAAAAGAATCCTTGAAAGAAAGTTATTTGAAATCTTTAAACGCTCAATTATTCGAAAATTAGCAAAAATTGTCATTTCAGAGTAGAAAATCTATTAAAAAGCTCTTCAATTAGACAATTTTGTATAATTAATCAATATTTTAGAGGTTATGATCAGTTTTAGCATAATTAACACAATTTAATATTGAAAATTGCTGATATTTTCTCAAATTTCACTATTAAATGCAAGATTAAATGATTTTGGAAGTTATTTTGTGGCATTCAAAATTCAAAACAATCTAAAGAACATTATTTTTCACTTAGAAATAATTCTTATTGGCTTTAGATAATTTTCCGATAAAATGTGAGGTTATGAATTTGTTAAAAATCCATTCAAGAGGAAAATGAAGTGAAATTTATCATATTTTGCAGTTTATTTGATCAAAAACGCTCAATTTCACTTGAAATTATTCATGCACTTCCACTTCCAAATACTTCAGCTGAACTGTACATCACTTCTCACCAATAATGTCTCCCCCTTGGCGTGTGCTTTTGCCACAGACAGAGCTTTCCCGAAAGGGTGCGGACGAGGGAAATATATGGAAATTGACATTCGAAGGTTTTAGTTAATGAGAACGACTTCATTAAGAGCACACACAGACATTATGAAGGTAATGAGAAAATATTCATCCAAAACACACAGTCAAATCAAATTTTCATAGACAAACTTCTCTGGTGGTTATTGAATAAATAATCAATTACACCTCAATTTGTCATCTTCATCAATTTTACCGCGCCGATTTGCAATTAAATATTAAAATTGCTCATTCACCATTTATGTTTTGGATCATTTCCGCGGTGGATTTGCTTCCTGTGCATTTCCACAACAGTCCAATATTTCACCATTCAGCCTCAGAGGCTTCTGCATTAGTAATATGACATGAAAAGCCCGAACTTTTCCCCTCAATACATAGATATAGAGCATAATTTCAATGAACTTCCCTCTCTCTGAGATCAATTCTGCTTCATCATTTCCAGGCGTGCAAACAACTTTATGTGAACTTACGTAAGGTCACCAATTGACACACGATTCAATTTCTACGTGCCAAATAAGTAGTGCGAATGATTATGTGTAGATCTAGAAATTATGTGTGTGAGAAGAATTAATTGCAAGTCATTTGTTTTCAAGCGATAGCACTCAAGGCGTCTTTGAGATACACAACTTATCGCTAAGAAGCATCAAAAGATTGTCGTGCATTCCATCAATCCACTGATCAAGAGAAGTCTTCCTCACCAGCTAGATGAAAACCAGCCAAAAACAGCGTGTGCAGTTGAAGTGCCTTGATGAAAATGCTCAAGAAAAACATCTTTTCACGCTTATCATCTTTATTATTACGAATTGAGAGGCATAGCGTGATTTTTGGGTATGGAAACAGCTGCTTATCAGTGTTATAAATAAGTATTTACAGAATTATAAATTCATCACTTCGCCCAAGTGTTCAATCAGAAAAGTGTTGATCATCCGCGTGAGAAGATCTCGCGAATCCTTCCGCCGATTTTGACGTAGAAAAGTGCATCAGAATGCTGGACGACAGTGTGATATTAACTCGATCTTCGGGTGTTTCTGCCGAAGGCGTCAAGGATCAGTATGCTGACGGAAAGGCGGCCAAAGTGTGGGAGATCTTCATCGGTGACAAGCGCTCAAGGACGGACAATTACAGGAATTTCCTCGTGAATCTCCTGAAGAAGCACGGCTGCAAGAGAATCCTCGATGTTGCGTGCGGAACTGGGTAAATTATCAATGCGTGTTATCAGTGCATTTTGTCAGTCATTGAGCGACTTTCCTTGCAGTGTTGACTCCATTTTGCTGGTGGAAGAGGGCTTTGAGGTGGTTTCCGCCGACATTTCGGACAAGATGCTGAAATACGCGCTGCAAGAGCGCTGGGAGCGTCGCAAAGAGAAGGCCTTCGACAATTGGGGTAAGTTGAAGATCACGCGCGCTATCTAAAGGTCAAGAAAAGGGGGAGATAATGTGCCTTAGATCTGTACATCACTCCGTGACACTTCTGACAGTCTCTGTGCAGAATCTTTAACACTTCAGACACTTTTTCCATCGCTTTAAAGCCTCCTTCAAGTGTTTTTTACACTTATTTAAGATTCGTTTAACCTTAAATTTACTTTAAACCCTTCAAATGCTTAGATTTCAGATTACTAGAAAATATCTTAACGTCTAAGAATTTGCTTTTAGACCATTTTTGTCTTCATTTTCAAGTTTTATCTTTGGAAAACGCTTAGAAAAATTATGAGCAAATTGTGAGGTTATGAAAACCGTCTTTTAAACCTTTTTGGACTCATTTTAATCATTTCAACGCTGGAAATTACTAAATTTAGTGAATATTACAATGTTTCTACACGATAATGAAATTGAATTTTAAATTGAAAGAGACATTATTCTTGACTGAAATGACATTTTTGAGGTTATGATTGACTTTTAAGCTTTTTCTCAGAGAATATGAATTTATTTTGCACACAAATGCTCAACTCTGCCGAGAAAAAGAAAAATATTCCCAGTTTAAACACAAATTTCATGATTTTGAGTGTTATTTAATCGCCAGAATCTGTTTTTAAAGGTTTTAAATCAATGACATAACCTAAAAAATCAATAAAATACATTTTTCTAGGGCCAAAAAAAATAGAAAATGATTGAATTTGTTGAAATCGAAGCTTTTGCAATACAAATACACTTCTGTACACCATTTCTGGCAATTATCTGCCCCTTGGGTCAAGAAACCCGCGGGAAATGGCCTGAAATATCGCCACATGATCTGTGAGAAACTGGTTTGCAGTGATCGAGGAAGCCAACTGGCTGACGGTGCCTCAGGAGCTCGGCCACCTGATCGGCGACGGATTCGACGCTGTGATTTGCCTGGGAAACTCCTTCGCGCACATGACGGACTCTTATGGCGATCAGCGCGATCAGAAGCTCGCGATCGCGAATTTCGAGCGATGCGTGAAGCCTGGCGGTCTTCTGCTGATCGATCATCGCAACTACGACAACATTCTCAAGACTGGAAGCACGCCGTCCAAGTGCATCTACTACAATGTAAGTGCAATCTGTCCATCCAGCGACAATCTCACTCTGATAGCGACTAATTGCAGAATGATCACATGTCTGACATCAAGACCTCCGTTCTCTATGTGGGCGGAAAAGCCACGCAGGTCATTCTGGACTACTCAATCAGCAACGGCAACGGCGAAACGAGGTATTTATGCGATCGCCACAGCTGATTTTCACACATTCTTCTCAAAAGCACCTTTTATATGCACAGTGAATTCCGATTGTCTTACTATCCGCACAAGCTGGAGGTCTTCAAGCGCATTCTGGAGGAAGTGTTCGGGAAGAAGGCAAAGTACGACATTTACGGTGACTTCAAGCCTCTGACTGAGACTGCGACTCCCGGATTTTACATCCACGTTGTCCAGAAGGCCAAATAATTGCCGCTTAATGAGCTTCACGTGAATTAATCGCACTTTATTAGATAACTATGGCATAGAGTTGGGCGATTTTCTTACATTTCAACCTTCACGTCATTTTTTTTTATATGCAAAAATAGAGATTTTTATAAAGAGGAAAATATTGTTGTGTGTTTTTCACCATTAAATCGTTCATATCTCAGGAAGTTTTCATCCGATTGTCTAGAGTGGTACAGATTTGGAAAGGTCATTTTCTAAGCTAAAACTCATTAGAACATATCAAAGTCGCCAAGTGGTCGCAAGACAGTCAAAATTGACACTTTTTGCTGTCAAAGCTGAAAATATTTACTGTTTCATACATAAATAAATTCCTATAAAATAGCGAATGAATGCGAAAAATACGAGTTAAACCTCAACTTATAGAGCATTTCTTAGGAAACATTTCCACAATATATAATTTTTTTCTACGAAGCCTCTGAGTATAAACAATTGAGCTTAGGTATTAATTTAGCAGTTAATAATACATCATTTCCACCACATAATGCCTTGCAGATGTGATAAAAATCAGCGGATTTTCACAAGTAAAGCAGTTTTGGAAAGCTCAAGGAATTTCCTCAAACTCTTCAGAACATTGCAATTATATTGAGCCAAGATTTTACTAATTTTTGAGCGGTTTTCTGCAAGACGTCACAAATAATAACGTGTTGAGTGTCTCAAGCACAACTCTGCGCACGAGTCATAAATTGAGTGTGTTTCTGGCGAAAAATGGTGCTCATTTATATGATCTTGAAGCGCGCGCAATTGGTGATCGCGAAAAACTGGTTCTGCACTGCAAATTGAGCATCTGATATGCAGGCCAGACACACACTTTTGATGTTGCAATGTTGCGAGCAGAAAAACACCCAGGCAATGTGCGAGGATGACACACAAGATTGTCACCATAATTGCATTTTTTGCACAATTAGCCTGCAATTGAGAGACACTTTCGCACCTCTTTGGCTGGGAGAAACTCTGGCGGGCTAATCGCCGGGTAAATGTCACGGTAAGTGAATTAATGGACTCACAGGTGACAACATCGTCATCAGGGTATCTCCGGGGGGAAGAGCGGATGCCCTCTCTCTCTCTCTCACTCTCTCGGCCGGAGATTATCCGCCCCCAAACCTCATGAAGTATTAATCTCCGAGATGACGGAGTGTTCGCAACTCGAGAGGGAGAAATTACATTGCGAAACTCTGTGGCAAGGGGCAGATATTGTGGTCGGAAGTGGTGTACAGCTTTGTGGAAGTGTTCGGGAATCGGAAGTGGTAAAATATCTTGAATATTTGCATAGCAAAAGCTTCAATTTCTATATGATTTTACTTAGATTGAGCAAGTTTGATTGGTTTGATTGCTTTTCTAGGTTATGTGATTGATTTAAAACAGATTCTTTCGATTTAATAACACTTAGCAAGACACTCAGTCTTCAAATTTGTGGTTAAGTTGAGATTATTTCTCTTTTTCTCCACAGAATTTATCATTTTTGATCGACAAAACTTGATATTGTTTGAGAAGAAGCTTAAAAGTCAATTATAACCTCAAAAAATCCAATTTCAGTCTAGAAGAATGTTTCTTTGTTGATAAATTCAACCTCATTATCTAGAAGAAACATTCATAGATTCACTATATTTACTCAATTTGAGGTTTATAAAGATCTAAATCAGTCCAAAAAGGGGTTTTTAAGTCCACTTCATAACCTCACAATTTGGTTAGAATATTTCAAAGCATTTTCTGAAGGCAAAACTCTAAAAGAGCGATGAAAAATGCCTCCTTGAGGCGTTCAGGAGTGCCTAAAGTGTTGAAAATTCCGCATCAGAGGAATTGTGGGTGTGTCTGAGAGTGGTGTACAGATTTCAGGCATATTATCTCCCCCTTGCTCTGGTGGCAAAACTGATTCCACTCGTGATAACGTGGGATTCATAATGAATAGTGAGAGTGCGAAATGCAATGGAACAGCATCTCTCCAGTTGATAGCAATATCCGTGACTCTTCCACTAGATTATGCACAGGGAAATTCAATTGTTTCCCTGCTCTTTATAAATATGAGCAGAATTTTCACCACCTTCTCAATGCATTCGCGGGAGTTTTCATAGTCGCCAGTGTGTCTTAAATTGTGCGTTATGCTTTCTTCCGTGCTGGCAATTTGCGTTGCTGCGCTTCTTCTGCACCACTTCTGGACCAACAGAGATCTCTACAGACTCTCGTGGATCATGCCAGGCCCCATTCCGATTCCCTTCCTGGGCAACGCCTACAATCTCATCGGGCGCAGCCACGAAGGGCTTCTTGAGATGCTGAACAAGCTGGTGAAAGATTATCCGGCGCCACTGATGCGATATTGGATGGGAACCAAGATGTACGTCTTCATCAAGAAGCCCGAGGACTTGCAGGTCATCCTCACCACGCCAGAGTGTCTCAATCGCGATGATCTCTATGAATACACCAAAACTCTGGCCGGAAATGGACTTCTTGTGCTTCCAGGTGAGTTAATTGGCCATCAACACAAGTCTTCGACACTTCTGAACGCCTTTAAGGACATTTTCCATCATTTTTCCGACTCAAATCACAATTTCTGTCGTGATTTTCTCTTCTGACCGAATTGTGAGGTTATGAATCCGACTTTAAAACCCTTCTTAGACTCATTCTAATCCTGCCAAACCTAGAAATTAGTGAATAATATAATTAATAATGCCACTTTAAAGTACAAAACGCGGAAATAGCCAAGAAAATATGTTTTTTTCTATACCGAAATGATATTTTTGAGGTTATGTTTGACTTTAAAGTTGTTTATTAGTCAATTTTAAGTTTATTTTTTGACTAAAATACTCAATTCTGCCAAGGAAATGAAAGTATTCCCAGCTTAAATACAAAATTGATTATATTGAGGGTTGTTTAATCACTAAAATCTGTTTTAAATCAATTACATAACCTAGAAAAAGTAATAAAATTGATTTTTCTGAGCAAAATGATGTTGGAAAATGTCTCAATTTGATTGAACAGAAGCTTTTACAGTGCTTCAAATTCCTAACACTTCCACAAAATCCGTACATCACTTCCTACCATAATATCTTCCCCTTGTTAGTCAATAATTTGCATGGAAAATTTGCATTTCGCGTGTGTTTTTGCTCAGTTGACGCTTGGAAAGACCATCGAAAGTATCTCAACCCAACATTCAGCCTCAAGATCCTTCAGAGCTACATTCCGATCTTCAATAAGGAAACCCAAACGCTCGTCAATCGACTGAGGAAATTCGATGGAAAGCCAGAATTTGATATCTATCAATTCATGGACGCTTGTACTTTGGACATTGTTTGTCGTGAGTGTGAAAAAAGCAGTTTATTTCGGTTAATTTCACAGTGAAAGCTCTGTAAAATCCTCAGAAACCACGATGGGAAGCCAAATGCACATCCAGAAGGATCAGAACATTGACTATTTAGAGGCCGCCAACAAGTGAGTTTGCATACAAAGTGATTTAATAGTATAATATCTGCAATTTTGTCTGACATTGAATTGGATTTTTTTGCAGTTTACTCTCAATCATCACGACACGCATTTTCAATCCACTTCTGCACGTGAATTCACTGTTCAGGCTGACAAAATGGTACAAAATTGAGCAGAAGAGTGAGAAAATTGTCTTTGGATTTGTCGATAAGGTATATATATTTTCTGTTTCATCAACTTGAACTTGACTAACTGACTTTGCAGGCGAAGCTGGTCTATTTAAGATGTTCTCATGCTCGCCATATTTCACCTCACAACATTGCGCTCAACATTATTTCCTCAAGATCCGGTTCTGTGCAATCGGGCAAAAACAGTCAATTAGCATTGGCAATATCGCTCTCTAACATCTCCCCAGACAAGTTTCACATGCAATTGTCTTCTGTGGTGTTTAATTAACTTTTATGTGAGTTTTTTTGCAAACATTTTAATCACACATCAATTATCATTTTGCAACACAAACACAAACACACAGATTCTGCAAAACAAGAAGAGAGATTATCACGTGACGCCAAAGGAAGATGACGAGCAGATTTCCTTCAAGAGTCCTCAGCTGTACATTGATCAACTCCTTAAGCTCTCCGTTGAAGGAGGAATTTTTACCGATGACGATGTCAAGAGCGAATCAAACACAATCATCTCAACAGTGAGTAATAATTGTCGCTTTAGAGAGCTTCTCACTTAATTACCGGAGAAATTCACAGGGTTTTGAGAGCACGGCGCTCATCACGTCTTATTGCGTCCTCATGCTGGCGATGCACCCCGAAATCCAGGAGAAAGTGCACAAGGAAGTCAGCGAAGTCGTGGCTGATCCCGCGAACGTGCAGTACGAGGAGTTGGGCGACCTCAAGTTCACCGAGAGGGTAATTAAGGAGACCATGAGACTCTTCCCCACAGTGCCGGTGATTGGCAGAGTGGCGAGTGCTCCTTTTCAGCTGAGTAAGTCTCCTCGAAGCTCTCTCCGTGGCCTCAAGACTCAAGACTCTCCCTTTCTTCCCCCCCTTCAGGAGAATTCACGATTCCCGCCAACACTCACTTCCTCATCTGCCTCGTGACGCTGCACAGAGACAAGGCGATTTGGGGCCCCGAAGCGGATAAATTCAACCCCGACAACTTCCTCCCCGAGCACTTCCAGACAATCCACCCCTACGCCTATGCGCCCTTCAGCGCCGGGCCGCGGAATTGCATCGGCATCAAGTACGCCTACATGCTGATGAAGGTCCTTCTGGCGCAGCTCGTGAGCAGCTACAAGTTCCGGACGCATCTGCGACTCTCTGACCTCAAGCACCGCATCGACATCACGCTGAAACTCAACAACAAGCACATGGTGTCCGCCACGGCCAGGAACAAGTGACAGAGCGGCGCAAGCCGAGGCATTTCCACCCTCTGCAGCCCAAGAAAATGCTCAATGTATATTCTGAAGACAAGGAGGAAATAAATGCAGTCGCACGATTTGTTTGTTCTTTCAAATTTCAAATATGAATTGGAAAAAGCATTAGAAATCTCTTGAGAAATCTATAGAAATCCGGTTAAGAACATCCCAATGACAAAACATAAGCAATTTTGACTCAATCAAGAAGATCAAAATGAAGATTATTAGCTCGAAAATTGACTTTCACACAATTTTTATCCACTAAATGCTCAAATTTGCATTTAAATTGAAAAATTTCACAATAAGGACAAGTGTTTAAAACCTAGAAAAGCGATATAAAATTGTTATCTTATACGAAACGACGATATTTACATAATAATTTATATTTAATCGTGATTTGAACCGGAAAAAGTATAGAGAAATCTCTCAGAATCCGGTTCAGAACTTTCCAATGACAAAGATAAGCAATATCAATTTATAATGACTTGATAATTGGCTCAAAATGAAGAGAATTTATCTCGAAAATTGACTTTCACACTGTTTTTCAACACTAAAATTACAGTATATTCCCAAATTTGCTAGTAAATACGAATGTTTGCAGTGTTATTGGCTAGAAAAGCGATATAAAATGGTGAATTCAGAGCTTTTGTTGCACATTCTTAAGATTTCTGACTAAAAATGTCTTGAAGAAGCATGGAAATTTCCACTCTTTGCCCATCTTGAGTCGCGATCGCGCAAAACGCGAAGTGCTGGGCAAGGTTTAATCGCAATGCAAATGCTCCAATGTCTGTTCTTCGGCGCGATGTTGAGGCGTGTCCGCGTCTTGATTCCCGATTCAACTTTTGCGTTTTGGTCGACCAATGGACGATCGTGAGATCAGCAGCATTTCGTTGTGGCTGGAGTGATTATAAAAAGGCGCGACATCAAGTGGAGAATCTCCAGTTCCGTGTTGAGGTGTTTTTCGAGAGCTTTTCCTTGACTAGGCGCGATGTGGGCAATTCTCGTGCTGCTCTTCCTCGCCACGCTGGTGTGGCATTTGTGGTCGAAGCGTGAGCTGTACAGACTCACGCTGCAGATGCCAGGACCCTTCATGATCCCGCTGATTGGGAACTACCAGACAGCTTTGGGCATCTCCAATGAGGGACTGCTGAAGCTGGTGCAGTTCCTCACCACCAGCTTCCCGACGCCCGTGCGATGGTGGGTCGGCACGACGATGTACGTGATCGCGAAGAAGCCCGACGATCTTCAGGTCATCCTCAACTCGCCCAATTGCCTCAGTCGGGCGGACGTTTACGAGTTCCTGCGCTCCTTCGGCGGTGACGGATTGGTTTCCCTCGAGGAGCCGCAGTGGAAAGTGCACAGGAAACTCCTCAATCCCACCTTCAGCCTCAAGATCCTGCAAACTTACATGCCAATCTTCAACAAGGAGGTGAAAGTCCTCGTCTCGCGCCTCCAGGAGCTGTGCAACAAGCCAAATCCCACGGACATCTACAACTACATGGACGCCTTGACTCTGGACGTGGTTTGTCGTGAGTATTTTTCGAGGAATCGCCGCATAGCCAATTAACCGCACGAACATTCCGCCAAGGGGGAGATAATATGACCAGAAGTGGTGTACAGATCAGAAGAAGTTTAAGGAAGTAGAAGTGCTTCAATTTATACAATATTTGGGTCACAAGCTTTGATTTTCTGTTGATTACTTCACTTTTAGAAATTAATTTCTATCCAAATCCTAATTTTGACATATTTTTCTAGGTTATGTGACTGATTTAAGACTAAACAATAACTTAAAATTGAAATTATTGTGCTTAAATTGAAGACATTTTCATTTTATGAGTAGAATTGCGTATTTTTACACCATAAAAATCGATGATTTTAAGCAAAAACAATTCAAAAGTGAAACATAATCTCAATTTTTCTTAATAAACTGTTCCGATTTTGAGTAAGAAACGAAAAAGGAAATGCTTTAAAGGATTGTGGTTAAGAAAAATGCACTAAAGTGTAATTTTAGCTGAAGAAAACCACAAAATATTGTATGAAAACGTGAATTTTGAAGTTTTCAGTCAGATTTGAGTCAGATTTCAGTTAAATTTCAGTTATTAGTTGATATTACTCTTAGAAAATGGTGTACAGATTGAATACTTACTATCTTCCTCTTGCATTCCCGCCATAAATTCTCAGAGACGACAATGGGAACGGAGATGCACATTCAGAAGAACCAGAACATTGAGTATCTTGAGGCGGGAAACAAGTAAGACGCGTAGTTTACACATGTTTCAATTTGCATCTCTAGAAAATTATGACTTGCGCATTTTGCAGTTTATTGTCCATCATCACAACTCGCATGTTCAATCCTGTTCTGCAGTGGGATTGGTTCTTTCGCCTCACGTCTCTGCACAAGGTTGAGAAGAAGAGCTCTGACATCACCTTCGGATTCGTCGATAAGGTGATCTTATCGCAGAAGAAACACATGTTTGTCGCGTGAGAGTGTTTAATGAGTGACTTTTGCAGATTCTGCAGAGGAAGAAGATCAACTACAAAGCGCCCGAAGTGAATCTTGACGATGATCAACCGCTGAAATCACCCCAAATCTACATTGATCAACTCATGAGGCTGCGAATGGAGGAGCGGAAGTTTAACGATCGCGATGTTGTCAGCGAAGCGAACACAATTGTCGCCACGGTGAGAATTAACGCTAGAAAATCAAGTTTTTCCTCACTTTCTTAACACAATTTGCGGTGTCTTTTAGGGCTTCGAGAGCACAGCTTTGGTCAGTTCTTACTGCATTCTCATGCTGGCCATGTTTCCTGAGCATCAGGAGCGAATCTACGAGGAGATCAAGTCCATCATGCCCAATAGAGAGGACAATGTTCAGTATGACGACTTCAGCAAGTATGAATTCTTGGAAAGGTAATTGTAAATCACTCAATTAAGCACAATCAGTGCATAAATGCAATCGATACAATCAATTAGACGATTTAAAAGCGTCACATTGAGTGCATTCTGAGCATAAATCAGGTGCACAATGCATCGGTGGCTATTAAAAATCAATAACTCTTGCAGATTCATCAAGGAGACAATGCGCCTGTTCCCCTCAGTGCCGCTAATCGCCCGAACCGCCACAGCTCCGTTCCAAATGGGTTAATCGAGACACTCAAAAGCCGCTCAGCCACGTTTTCTCATATTGATTTTCCTCTTGTCGACAGGAAAGTACGTCATTCCGAAGGGGACAAATATCGTGTGCGCCATCAGCATGATGCAGCGCGACAAGGAGGTTTGGGGCCCGAACGCCGCCCACTTCGATCCTGACCACTTCCTGCCCGAGAACCTCGAGAAAATGCACCCCTACGCCTATCTGCCCTTCAGCGGCGGCCCGAGGAACTGCATCGGCATCAAGTACGCCTACATGTTCCTCAGGACCATCGTCATCCACCTGGTGAGCAACTTCCGCTTCCGCACGGACCTCAAGATGAGCGACTTCCGCCACCGCATGGACATCACCTTCAAGCTCATCAACAAGCACATGGTGTACGTGGAGAAGCGCGCTGAGCAATAAATCCCGACTAAAGGTGGCGATGAAAGTCTCATCATTGGCGAAAAAGTGTGCTAAGAAAGTGATTTATGCACAAAACCCGCTCAGCTGCATTCAAATGGCCGAATTAGCAAGTCTTCTGCGAGTCAAGTTCATGATCTTAGACGACAAGGAGGAGATATTGTGCAAAACACTCTGTAAAACACTTTTTCACAATAAATTAGAGCACTTTTTGTATCGCTTCGGAATGTTTTACATAAAGAAATCAATTCTTATGATTGTTTTCATGATTTCGTGACATTTTAAGATGAAATTTAGTGAATAAATAGATTAGTTTTAATTCCTAAACAACCTATAAATAACTTACAATTGCAGTTTTGAAGCGATTCCCACTCAAATAGGGAATGTTAAAAATGTGTTACATTAGTTTTAAACAGTTTTTATTAATCTGAGTAACACATAATATGACTTACAATGCTGATTGTTTTGAAAACTTCACAATTTCTGTTAAAAAAGTTACCAAAAGTCGTAAAAATTTCATCACTTGTGATAAAACGTTAAATTTGTAATTTTAAAACTTTCTCCAAATCGTGTTTTAACCGTGTTAACAACAAAATAACAGATTGGAAGCTGTGGAATAAGCTGCGATCTCAATCAATATTAAAACACGCTTTAGCGATAATAGCAAAAGGTGTTCTTCCTTGGAAGATTAAGCTTTTACATGTTTTAAATTCAACATTCGTCAGTTTAAGTGGGAATCGCACAATTTTTCAGGGTAAAATCGCGTCTAAAATATCATTTTAATTTATTTTAAACTCAAAATAACCTCAAAATATTGTCTCTAAAGAGTTTTCCGGGGGTTTTTCTGTCTTAAAGCCCAATTTTTAACTGTTTTCCTAATATTTTTGGCAAAATATAATTAATTTCTGTATGAAACAAGTTGAAAAATCATCTCTTTGCTTCATAATCTCACAATGGATTGACGTACAGATTTAAGTGCATTATCTTCCCCTTGGACTGGAGATTGTCTGCAATTCAACACTGTGTCTGGCGTGGATTTTCACCGCCTGTCCAGTGAAGTCCAGCCGAAATGCAGGCACAGGAGATTAAATCAATTACCGCCAACATGAGTGATGATGTCAAGTGTGATGATTTGGGCCACTCTCTGTGCGGCAATCTCGATGGAATCATGAGGGACACAATGGCAGACACTTCCTTTCCACCCCACAAATTCACGTGTGTGTGTTTGTGTCACACTTTAATGCTTTTCCACCCAATTCGCCTGCAATTGTTTGCACACTCACACAAGCGCGCTCTAATGGGGAAAATCATATTACTTTCCCACGGGATTCCACTTAAGAGCCATCATTAATTTTCCCCACGTTATTTGACAGGGTGGCGGATTGGAAGAAAATGGGAAATTCTATGACATTTACAGGTAATTCTCAATTTCTCACATTTCACTGGGGAAGAAAAAGCGTGGGAAGAATTCTCGAAATTCTCTCTCGCGCGCACGTAATTTGCAAATCATGGGAAAACACTTGCGATTTCAACTGAATTCATTACTATCGATGAGTATAGTTTCTTCCACTGCAAACACTTTGATTTTTCTCCCCTCTTCCGTGAGAGGAAATGAGCTGAGAATTCTCTCATTTTCCCCAGCGTTCAGCGCTAAACGTGCGCGCGCAGCTTCGGGAAAGGTTATAAAAGTGCGCTTAAAGCTTCCGTGAGCTTACTTGAAGTCAAAGTGGCGTCGAGATAAGATCACGATGCTGGGAATTGCGCTGATCTGTACAGTGTTTGTGCTCTGGTTCCTCCACTATTTGTGGCGCGACTGGGAATTATATCGCGTGGCATGGAAGATGCCCGGACCCTTGATGTTGCCCTTGATTGGCAACACTTACTGCACTCTTGGACTGTCGCACGAAGGTAGATTTGATTGCTGTGGAAGTGTGAGTGTTTCTAGCGTGTGCATTTGCAGGTCTTCTGGACTATCTGAAGGAGTTGTGCACAAAATATCCCAGTCCGATGCGATTCTGGCTCGGACCGAAGCTCTTCGTCATGATCAGTCGACCGGAAGAGTGCCAGATTGTCTTCAATGCCCAGGAATGTCTGAGCCGAGATGACATTTACGACTACATAAAGCCTTTCACGGGCGATGGACTCGTGACACTTCCTGGTAAGATTGAAAATCAACCCCTAATCTTCACTTCGAAGCCTCAAAACCCAACAATTTCAGCTGCAACTTGGAAGGATCACAGGAAATTCCTCAATCCCTGCTTCAGCTTGAAAATCCTCCAGAGTTACATGACAATCTTCAACACAGAAGTCAAGACGCTGATCGAGAGATTGGGTCAGAAGGAGGGAAAAGGACACTTTGATATGTACGACATGATGGACGCTTGCGCTCTGGACGTCGTTTGCCGTAAAAACACCCCTTGAAACATCCCTAAAGATTGCATTTCCTGATCGGAGAATTCTTTATGTTGCAGAAACAACACTCGGAACACAGATGAATATTCAGAAGAATGAAAATATGGATTACCTTGACGCGGCCAACAGGTGAGATTTTCCACGTAATTCACACTGATTGTCACTGATCCGCCTTGGTGATTTTTTTCTAATTCACCCAATAAGACAATTTCCCACATTCTCAAGCCAATTCGCCTTGCCTCGGGACGTGAACTTCCTGCTTATTTGACCTGTTTTCTTGTCCACTTTTTCAAAGTCTCCTGGCCACGATGACAACGCGGATCTTCAATCCTTTCTACCACTCAGACTTCATCTTCAACCTCAGCAAGTGGTCGAAGATGGAGAAGAAGAACTCCGACATCACCTTTGGCTTCGTCGATGACATCCTGCGCAGGAAGAAGGCGACGTACAAGAAGGCTCTGCCCGAGGAAAGGGCGCCACTGGACGAAAACACGTCCTTCAAGTCGCCCCAATTGTTCATCGATCAGCTGCTGAAGCTGTCGATGGAGGGCAACTATTTCACCGACACAGACGTGAAGAACGAAGCCAACACCATCGTCGCCACGGTGAGTCACTCGCCCCTCGATTGCATCTCTGCAATTAATGCCCAACGACGTGCTCCTCATGCATAAAGACAGTGATTTCGGACCGAGTGAAGCGTGTGTGAATTGAGAAACTTCCTGTCTCTCCCAGGGATACGAGAGCACCGCCCTCATCACGTCCTACTGCATCCTCATGCTGGCCATGCACCAGGACCTGCAGCAGAAGGCCTACGAGGAAGTCAAGAGCGTCATTCCCCGGACCGGCGACGATGTCAAGTATGACGATCTGGGCCAATTGGATTACGTCGAGCGATGCCTCAAGGAGACCATGAGGCTCTTCCCCACCGTACCAGTCGTGGCCAGGAAGGTCGATGCGCCCTTCAAGCTGGGTGAGAAGCTTTTCCCCAAAGTTCTGCATGTATTTTGGGATAAGAAATTGAATTCTGGGGTGGAAAATAATCGATTTCTTCCTGTTTCAAGAAGCTTTTTCGTGCTTTTGCGTGTTTTCCAACCACAAATTTGGGTTAAAAAGATTCTAATCGAAAGTCTGCAGCTTAATTAGTGATTAAAAGAGCAAATGAAAATAACATTTCCTTAATTTCTTGAATATTCACAAGATTTCTCAAGAATTGATTATAAAATTAATTGTTTTTCACTCATAATCATCTCCTTTCTTACAAGGATATTTCTTGGAAATTTTCTTCTTATTTGCAATATTTCTTGAGTGTCTTTTGTAGTCAAACAAGAGCTTTTAATTTAGTCTTTCAGTGGTATGAAATCAAACCTGTCTCCTTGATTTATCTCTGCAAATTCCTCCCCTAACAATTCATCCCCTCTTTTCCCAGACAAGTACACAATCCCTGCCGGAACACACATCGTGATTGGCGTGCTGGAGATGCAGAGGAATCCCGAATTCTGGGGTCCCGAAGCCCACAAATTCAACCCCGACAACTTCCTCCCTGAGAACTTCGAGAAGATCCACCCTTACGCTTACGTGCCCTTCAGCGCCGGGCCGAGAAACTGTCTGGGGATGAAGTACGCTTATATGCTGCTGAAAGTCATCATGGTTCATCTTCTCAGCAATTATCGCTTCACAACTGACCTGAAATACGAGGAATTGCGCCATCGGGTCGATATTACGCTGAAATTGACTAACAAGCACATGATTCACGTGCACAAACGCAAATAGAGCACTGAATCCAAAGTGCGAAGTGATTCACAGGTGGTTTAAGAAGAAAACATGAGAAAAATGCATTAAGCTGAGCGTCATGAGAAGTGATTAAATGGAATTTTCATACCCAGAATGATGTTTTAATTAGTATTACATTGTGAAATGCCCCGCCCATTGCGATGCCACGCCCACAATTTTGTTCTAATTTCAATTTCAAATGACTCTTTAAAATATTAAACTGTGTCACAACAGTGAAAACTTCCCTCTTCGCGCCATTAAAGCTCCTTCGCTAGTGTTTTTCCACCATTACAACCCTTTCTAATTTGTTGCTGCTGGCAAATAGAGTTTTGTCGCCGAGCGCAATGAAACGCTTATTCAAATTGAGTTAAGCACCCTAAAATTTCTCTGACTTTCACCAGTGTGTGCAGCAATTAGAGAATGTGAAAGTGTATTATAAGTAGATTCAAAGTTCTTCTCTCTCTCGTGAGCTTTCGCTTCTGCGGCAAGTGTTTATTTTTTTTCTGTCTCTCTCTCTGGAGCACCAAAGTGGCAATTAGATGCGAATACATTTCATTTGGTGTGAAATGCAATTGCAGAGAGCGTCTCAGGAGGAGGAATAAACATGGAATTACCATTCAAATGTCCCTCAATTCTCAATGCAATCAATCTGCATTCTTTTCACACTGCGCCACTGGTGATATAATTCTATTGTGCCTTGGCGAAATTGCTTCTCTGACACATTCAAGAAGACACCGGAAGTCAGAGGTCATGAGTAAATTGAGCATTGGATGCAGATCGTGATGGTCACACAATCAAATTACACATTTCACGTGAGAGAAGCTCATCTTCAATCTCCTCTGGACACTTGCAGAGCGTCCGGAGATGAGAAATCCTGGGGATAAATTCAATTAAGAGACGCCCAAAAAGGGGCACTTCAGTGCGCAAAACAGTGTCACGTTGCTTGAATTTCCGAGAAACACTTGTTTTCCTTGCGATCCTCACCGTGTGACATTGATCGTGGCTTTGACCGCATCGTCAATTTAGTATTGAGTGCATTTTCACCTGAACCGCCTCTAATTCTATGCAATTACATCGGGCAGAGAGACTCTCATTAGACTTAAGTGGCGGGTTTTTTGCCGCGACCGAAAGAATATGGCGCAATTGGCGCGCCATGTTGTGAAACCAGAGCGAAAGATTGCAACTTGATCACCCTCGGAATCAACCACGCGATCATCCATCACAGATCACAATTGCACAATTGGACATGGAAGACCATAAGGAAGTCACGCTGACGATAAAAACTGCAACATTCTTGCCATGCATTCACGCACACACAATTCCCAAGAAAACTACGATCATGAACTTCACACCAAAAAAAAATCCATCTGACGATCATCGTGCGAGATATCCGCCCAATTTGCTGCACATTTCCGCATTCCGGCGCGAATTCTCAGAAGCTCATTTGGCGCCAAATCACGCAGATGATCAACATCCACCCCCACATTGCGGTCAAGAGCGCGCGCGGCGTTTTCTGCAAACTCACTCACCTCATTTTCCTTCAGCCAATGCCTCGATCATGAGAAACAGGTTGGCGAGATCTCAGGGGCCGGCCAAGGATGCCAGTCGCTGCACAGTTCAGCTGGAAAATTGCATTATGCACTCTGTTTTTCTCAAGAAAACCACAGATATTGCGATCAATTACTCACAGCCACTTTTCGCGATTATTGAGGGGAAATTCGCACTAATATTGAGTCGATTCGTCATGAAAATAATTGTCATTTCACATGTTATTCCTAAAATCAAAGCCATTAAATCCGAATGAGTGTTTCTAGAATAAATTTCAGCCTTTCAAACACCTTTTTTACAGGGTAAGAATTTATTTCTGCTTCCAAAAGACACTTTAAAAACGTCGGGTTTAAAATTTAACATCAATATCGCTGCGAAATTGACCAAATTTACCTCAAAACCCTCAAAACGCCCTTCAATCCATCATTAGAATGTTAATATTGGTCTGTAATAATTATTTTCTGATTTTTTACAGTTGATTTTATTGATATTTATCAAAATTTTTGACTGAAACGTGTGAAATATTACTTTCTAGAGTCGATTTTCATAGTATTTTAGTACATTTTATCCAAACAAGATCTAAACAATTAACTTTTCATACTTTGTATGAAATTTTTTCTAAAGTTTTCGAGTAAAAAGGAATTTAAAAAATAAGACAAATATTATATTCATTTAAAATCTGAGAGTATTTTAGGAAAATCCTGGAGAATCTAACATTAAAATGTATAAATAGTCAAATTTTCATTCTTTAAAAATCTCTTTTACAGTGCTTCGTGGATAATTAAACCCGTCGAATTGCATTCTCAAATATTCTCTTGAATTTCTTAATGGAATTTAACTCTCTAAGCTATTCACGTGGGAAAAATTCTTTTAAAATTCGTAACAAAGAATCTCACTGAGAATTTATCATGAATTTCTCAGCAGCATAAGTGGTAAAATTCCATGTGAATCTCACTTCTTGCCGCACAACTTTGCTTACCACAGCAGCAGCTTTTCCAGCAGAACTCTTCAGCTATGCAAGTTGACCGTGAGTCGCATTCCTGGGGCAAATTTCCATGTGTCTCCATCTTTATCGCGCTGCAGCTTTCGCTCTGAGCTTTGATCGTTCCATTGAAACCCCTTCTACGGCTTTTCCAGTGCGATTCTCAATGCTGATGCCTGGGAAAATCAGCAGAATCGTCAGTCTAGCGCGCGCTTCCCAGGCAGTTCGGTCGGTTTTCCTCCAGTGTTGTTCTTCGCGCAGTGCTTAAGTGCTGAATTGATCTGCAACATTGTGGCAAAAGTGATTCTTTGGCTGTGCAGCCATGATTGTGATTGCGCTAATCGGTGTGGTTGCGGTGTTTTATCTCTACTATTTGTGGAGCAATCGGGAGTTCTACAGGACGGCCAGGAAGTTTCCTGGTCCTCTCGCTCTGCCCATCATTGGCAGCGCTTATCACTTCATCGGCTTGTCCAATGAAGGTGAAAACGCGTGGCGAATTCTCTAGGGGAAAAACCAAGGGGAAGATAATATGCCTCAAATATCTACAACACTTCCAGACACTTTTAAACTTATTTGAAAGCATTTCTTACACTTCCTCAACTGTTTTCTACACGAATTTCTGACTTATCACAAATCTAATCCAGATTTTTCCGTCTCAAGAAGTTTAATTTCTTCAAATGTTTAGATTTTGAATGGCAAAAAATTGAATTTAATTTTCTTTGATTCATTCATGGCAAACTTGTGTCTTGATTTACTAGTTTTATGTTGTAGAAAATGCGTCAAAAAATATTTTATCAAATTGTGAGGTTATGAATGCAACTTAAATATTTTTCTTCACTTAATTTGAACCTTTTTACACCCAGAAAATTAGTGAATAAGGTGAAGAATACAATGTTTCCACAAGATAGTGACGTTAAATTTGAAATAACTGAGCTCAAATCCCATTTTTGAGGTTATGATTGACTTTTAAGCTTTTCTTTTTACCTAATATGAAGGTAATTTAAACAGAAAAACTCAATTTTGCCAAGGAAAAGAGAAATAGTCCCAGATTAAACACAATTTTCATGATTTTGAGGATTTTTAAACGACCTGAAGCTGTCTTAAATCAATCACATAACCTAGAAAAAAGGAATAAAATTAATTTTTCTAAACAGAATTATGCAGAAAATGCCCTTAATTTGTTGAAATGGAAGGTTTTGCTGTGCAAATATTCTAAATATTTGACTACTTTTAATTCCTAAACACTTTCCGTGAAGTTGTACACCACTTCCAAGCATAATATCTGCCCCTTGGAAATAACCGATCGCAGCATTTGTATCGGAATTTATGGGTGATTCGCAGGCATTCTCAATGTTCTGGATTATCTCACGACCAAATTCTCCACGCCGCTCGGTTACTGGCTGGGCCCGAAGTTCTACATTCTGGTGACAAAGCCGGCGGATTGCCAAGTTGTCCTCACATCGCAGCACTGCCTCAATCGCGATGATGTTTATGACTTCACAAGGAGCTACGCAGGAGATGGATTAATCGCTCTCAAGAGTAATGAAGGCAGTGAAGAGCCCTCAAGACAGCTCAAGTTTGCCTGACAAATTACTGAAAAATCTCCCCTTTGGGGGTGGAATGGTAAATTAATTGCAGATCCCGCGTGGAAGGAGCATCGGCGCTTCCTCAATCCCTGCTTCAGCCTGAAGATCCTGCAGAGCTTCATGCCCATCTTCAACAACGAGGTGAAAACCATGGTGGAGCGTCTCAAGCGTCAGGCGGACGACGGCGGCACATTCGACATGTACAAATATATCGACGCCTGCACATTGGATATGGTGTGTCGTGAGTATTACCGAGGAAATTCATCACTGCTTGGCGCGAAAGCTCATCTGGGAAATCACAGAGTGTCTCACTTTTGAGTGATGCGCGCGAAATTGCACTCAATGAATCACCAAATTGATCAGCTTTGGAATTTCACCAAAGAAATCACGCACGCAGAGCTTTGTGAATCATTTAAATACCCAGAAGAGCTTTTTCTCTCATTTCCCCACACGCAATTTGTGTGGCCGCACAAGTCTATGAATGTCTCAGACAGTTTATTCTTTCTTCACTTCTCTCCACATTTTGCCAGAAACAACGCTGGGAACACAGATGAATATTCAGAAGAATGAGAACGAGGAATTCCTCTATGCGGGCAATAAGTGAGTAGATATATATGTATTGGATTCTTGAACCAATTCTGTCGTTTGCATTCATGTCAAAAGCACATGAATGAACGTGCGAGCTTCGGCTCAAGGTTCTCCACATTCGCATGGCAGAAATTATCAATCAAACAGTCCCTGGGGTGAGTCATTAAGTGTGTCTCATCCGCACACTGACTTCCAGGGCGCTTTATCTCCTGTCACCACTTCAATTCAATGGTCAGAAATCAATAGGTTGACAGGTGTCGTCCGCCCCGGAGCGGAAGATTGCGCAGAGTGAGTGTTTGGCAAATGGAAAAGAACGAGAGGTGTTCATTTGGAGGGCTTCCAGAGGAATTCCACCAGCATTCATCATCCTCTGCATTGTGCGCCTTGACAGCAACAATTAACTCACTCCATCGCATTCTGCCCCAATCTGAGCCTCCATGAGGCTTTTCCCACAGGAATCCTAAGAGGATTTTCCAGATGAATTTTGAATGTAACTTTCTCAGAGAATTATTCAGAAGCTCCTCTTATTAAGCTCTTTATTACAAAATTATTATAGTTATTGTTTGCTAATAATCTCCAAATTGCTAGTTTCAAGTCTATAATTAGTCAAGAAGTTTTTTAAATGGACTTTCTTTGAGGTTATGTTTGATTGAAGCACAATTTGCTGGGTTTTGTAAATTCAAACCATGTAGAAAATTGATTTTATGTGAATTTTTAATTAATGTGAAGATTTCAAAGCATCTTATCTCACTTGCTCGTTTTTCTTTGAAGTAATCGACAAATAAGTCATCGATAATGAATTTTTATCAAGTTTTTAAACAATTTTATGAGAAAATGGTTAAAATCGACAGTCTAAAGAGTATAATTAGTGAAAATCAGTCCTATTTTCCCTCTAAAATTGTAATAAAATATTAAATAACGCACAATTTATGTCGATAACTTCAATTACTCCAATGTAATTGGGATGAAAATTGAATTTATCCCGAAAAAAGCACTGGAAGAAAATAATATCTTAATCATTCTGAAGTGTACACCACTTCCAATCTGATATCTGTGCCTTGGGCAAATCAAAGACAGATAAAGACAGCATCGTAAATCCACTGGATTTAATTGCACGAACCTTTGAGTCGTCTGTGCCCCGAGGAGAGCCGGTGATTGGCCTCATCTCAAGTGTTCTGCTCTCCACAGACTCCTCGAGATCATGACGCACCGCATCTTCAAGCCGTGGTATCATCTGGACTGGGTGTTCAGGCTGACGAAGATGTACCACGAGCAGAAGCGCTGCTCCAACATTACGTACTCCTTCATCGGCAAGATCCTGCAGAACAAGAAGCGCGACTTGGCGAACAAGAACGTGGAAGGCGCGGAGAAGAAGTCGGACTTTGATGAGAAGAGCGACTCCTTCAAGTCACCCCAGATCTTCATCGATCAGCTGCTGAAGCTGGAGGGAAGCCACTTCAACGACTGGGACATGCTGAGCGAGGCCAGCACCATCGTGGCTGCGGTGAGTGGAGGATTTAAGCTCGAGCACATTGCCAATTAATTCGCTTCCCATTCTGGAGCTGATTTATGGAATTATCAGGGGAAATAAATGAGGGCCTCTGGGGAGGCACAATTAATCCCCCTTTGGCTCCCACGCGACATTTATTGTCACTCTATTTTTAATTGATACAATTAAGGCCCCAGAAAAGCTCAGCGCGAGCTTTTCTCCGTAATCGCCAACACATTGTTCGTGTCTGTGCAAACATTTTACGGCAAATTGCCTTATTATAAACCAAATGCACTTTGATTAATTTATAACACATGTGTGTTTTCCGTACACGATTTCTCAATTGCAGATCCAATAAATTATTTATAAATAACAAACGATTAAAATTGTTGTCACAGAATAAACATTTCCTCTAATCCACATCTTTCAGGGCTATGAAACATCGGCTCTGATGATTGCTTATGCCATTCTCATGCTCGCCATGTTTCCTGAGTATCAGCAGAAGGTTTACGAAGAGGTGAAGAGCATCTTTCCCTCGAAAGACTTTGACGTGTCCTACGATGACCTGAACAAGCTGGAGTTCACCGAGAGGGTCATCAAGGAGACCATGAGACTCTTCCCAGCAGTTCCAGTCATGGCCAGAAATGCGACACACAGTTTTGACCTCAGTAAGGCTCAAAGACACTTAAATCCTGGTTAATTTTATGCCAAGGGGAAAATATTATCTATCTGAATGAAAATTGTGTCACATTCTGTGATGTTATAAATCATGAAGTTTTCAGGCGAAATTTTTGGCTGAAAACCCGCTTAAATATCACTCTTTTCAGTATGTTTTTTTACCCATAACCTCAAAAACAATTAAGATTTCATCAAGAAAAAGTGTTAAAGAGGTGAAAATCTTTTACAATTCGTCAAATAGATCAAATTTAATTTAAAATTTATTCATTTTGAATCAAAAACAATTCTGGAAATTACTAAAACAATCATTTTCAATTATCTTGAATACTATTTTTGAGGTTATGTTTGAAATCAGAACAATTTTCCTGTCGATTTTATCTTCCAATGCTTCGAAATTGTCATTTTTATTGCATGCAAAAGCTTCAGAGCGTCAAAAATTGAAAATATCTCAAAACCTAAGCACAATAATAGATGAAAATCATATTTAAATTAGTCTCATAACCTATAATTGGTTAATTTGCTGAAAATCAAGCAATTGAAGAGGAAATATTGTGAAAATCTCAAACTGTAGCTAATTTCGATAACTTCCCTGCAGTTTTTCACCACTTCCTGCCGCCCTATTTCCCCCTTGGCTGACCCTTTGTCGCTCTTGCAGATGGCATCACAATTCCCGCCGGCACGGCCATCGTCATCGGCACGATTAGCATGCACAGGGACGAGAAAGTGTGGGGCCCGGAAGCCAAGAAGTTCAATCCGGACAACTTTCTGCTGGAGAACTGGGAGAAGCAGCACCCTTACAGCTTCATCCCCTTCAGCGCCGGCCCCAGAAACTGCATCGGCTTCAAGTACGGCATGATGTCCATGAAGACCGCCATCGCGCACACCATCAGGAACCTGAAGTTCTCCACGCAGCTGAAGCTGGAGGAGCTGCGCTTCGAGATTGACGTGACGATGAAGCTGGTGAACAAGCACTTGGTCACCGTCGAGAGGCGAGAGGAGTGAGCTTTTCCCCTTTCCCCAAACTAATACCTTCCCAGCAGTGAGATTAGCAGAAATAAAAAAGAGTTTTGCCAAAGGAAAAACCGCGGCATCTTTTGAATTGAATCGCCAAGAAGTAGGCAAAGTTGTGCTTTTGGGTGGAAAAATGCGGCTAAAGAGCGCAGATTGAAAAAAAACCATTGACTCATGAAATTAGCAGCATTAATAGGTATATTAAAGACCTCTGCTGGAGTGTTTGCACATCACAGAGAATTTCCTGCCTTATCAAAATAAACTCCATGACCTGCGGTCAGTCGTAAACGTGATTTTGGGCGCGCAATGGCGAAAAAAGGCGGCGTGCGAATTGAATTGCGCCCAAAACCACGAATTTCTGTGGCCACAGAGAATTGCCACGCGCGCGAATGTCAATGTTAATTGCAGTGAATGCGTGACCACAGCGAGTCTGCTGCACTGCTCGCCACAGCCTTCGATAGCTCAGTTGGTAGAGCGGTGGACTGTAGAGAGAGATTTCCCTCGGAATCCGCCGGATTCCGCGGGAGTTGCCCAGAAATCCATAGGTCGCTGGTTCAAATCCGGCTCGAAGGACAACTTTTTGCGCGCGCCGTTTTGCAAGAGCTTTTCGCAAAGACACAAAGTCGCGATAATGATAAGGAAGATGAGCAGTAAATTGCATCAACAAATTCACACATCATCAAATGGTGATAATTTTCGTGATAGGTTGAATTTATTTCAAATCTCTACTGATTTCCCATAAGAAGCAGATTTTTGTCGTGAATCTTTAAATTACTCATATTTATATAGCAAATTAGTGGATTTATTTTTTAATAAATCAATCAAAATCATAGGAAATATTGATATTCTCATGAATGCAACACAAATCAATAATTTTCTTACAATGAAGACCACAAATTTCACTCAAATTTCACTCATTCTGTTCGATTAAGCAGAAAATCAAGTGCAATTGAAGGTAAATCTTGGCAAATTCGTGTTAAACAGTCTCTCGCTCTCACTCTGTATAGACAATAAAACAAGCAATAGAACATGGGAAATTATTGATTATCTCAGAATCTATGCGGTATGTAAGTTCAATGGCTCGATAGACGCACAAAATCTTCAACTTGAAGCTGGAAAACTTGACTTTGGGTGTTGAAATACGACAATTTTGGAGGCTTTTTGTGACCTTCTCAGCACATTTTTGCTCATTGAGCTTCTCAAGAAGCTCAAAATTCACCAATTTGACGATAGAGATTTTTATTCAATTGAATTTAATCATAGAAGAAAAACGTTTAGCAATTGATAAGTGTAGAAAAATCTGTGGTGTTAAGTCAATATTTATATAGGGTGTAATTAATTTGACGGAGTCTTTTAGTTGGGAAACTCCTTTTCTAAAGACGCACTTTTCCCTGCTTCTCAGCTGATTACTCGACAGCTTTCTTGTGTGCAATTCTTCGCCAACACTTTTTGTTTGATGTCTTCTATTTGACGAATAGATTCGCAAGTTCTTCAAATATATACATGAAGTAAATGCTTGGATAAACATTTGTCTATATTTTTTGTGCACCATTTAATCTCCACACATAAAAAAAACACCTTCGAAGAGCCGAAGAATAATATTCCGAAAAAATCACTCCTCTCGTTTCTCCCACTTTAATTGACGCCTTTATGTCCGGGGCCTATAAATGTCCGCGGACATTCGGCGGCGCACTCATTTGTTGTGCAGTGATCAGTGCCAGTGCCTCAGGATGTTCGCGCTTGTCGGGATAGTGACTCTGCTCACGCTAATCTACTTCGTGTGGACGCGATGGGACATCCTGAAGCTCACTTGGAGTCTTCCCGGACCGCTGCCTTTGCCGCTCGTGGGCGCAGGATATTTGGTCCTGGGCAAGGGCAACAAAGGTAGCTTAAAGTGTGCATTAACACGTCTTTAATCGCTCTTTGGTGATCGATCGTGATGACGAAATGTGTGCTTGGGAGTGTGTTATTGGAATGACATCAATTTGTGCTGGTGTCTTTGCAGATTATCTGCAATTTGTTGAGTGGCTGTTCAAGAAATACTCCAGCTTCCATCACCTTTGGCTCGGACCGCGCATGTACTTGCTCGTCAGTGATCCCAAACTCATCCAATCCGTGCTGTTTGCTCCGGAAACCCTCAATCGCGACGATATATATGATTTTGTGAACGTCCTGGGCGACGCCGGCGGTCTGCTGACGCTCAACGGGCAGACGTGGAAGAATCACCGCAAGAACCTCAATCCCTGCTTCAACGTGAAGATCCTGCAGAGCTACATGCCGATCTTCAACGAAAAAGCAGGCATCATGATGAAGAACTTGACCGCAAGACTGCACAAAGGACCGTTCGATTTCTACGAGTTCATGGACGCTTGCACGCTTGACATGATTTGTCGTAAGTATTTCTGCATCTTTCTCAAGGAATATATTAACGTCTCGTTGCTAAAAATTACTGCAGAAAGACGCAGAAATGAAGATATTCGCCTGATTAGCAGCAAAACTGTGCGAATTTTTTCACATCTACTTCAGCAGCAATAATTCCTGTGTTCTTTCTCACTCGATCTTCAAACATTACTCGAACTTGAGATTATTTAATTACCTCTTCTTTCATGATTTTCACTCAAGACAGCACTCAAGAAGCTCTTCAAGCGTAAATGACGTCATTTGCATCAGAAGAAAATCCCTCGATCATGCTTAATGGCTAAAATTCTCACTGACTTTCCAGAAACAACACTCGGAGCTGAGATGAACATTCAGAAAGGACAGAATCAGGATTATCTCTACGCCTGCAACAAGTGAGGATCACTAAAATTATGATCTGTAAATCATACTCAGATGTGATCTTTGTCTTTCAGTCTCTTGCCGATGATCGGCATCAGGATTTTCTCGCCGTGGTTGTATCCGGACTTTCTGTTCAAATTCTCGGAACTCCACAAGACAACCGAGAAACTGCGCAAGATCACGTCGAACTTCGTGGAAAAAGTGATCAAGAGCAAAGCGTCAAACGCCGAAGAGACCAAAGGTTACAAATCCGAGCGACGTTTGTCTGAAGACGAGTTGACGTCATACAAGAAGCCGCAGATCTTCATCGATCAAGTGATGGAGATGTTTAAGGAAGGCAAGCTGGAGACGATGATGGACGTGAAGGCGCACGTGGGCATTAATATTGCCGCGGGATTCGAAACATCCGCTCTGACCAGCAGCTATTGTGCTCTCATGCTTGCCATGCATCCCAAAATCCAACAGAAACTGTACGAAGAGATCGAGAGCATCTTCGGCAAAGACTGCAAGAATCCCGTCGTGGAATACGAACACTTCGACAGACTGGAATACCTCGATCGCGTGCTCAAGGAGACACTGAGGCTCTTCCCAGCCGGTCCTTACGCTGCGCGCAAGGTCAGCAAAGACTTCAACTTGGGTGAGTTCTTTTCGTGCAAATGCGTTGTTATTCACTCTTGCGATCTTCTCGATAACAAGCAAATATTTGAACTGCATCGCGATCATGATCGCGCTTTTGTTTGAACAGACGCGCCGTCAAGTGATGAACAGAAGCGTGTTTTTAACTGTTTTTACGGACAACTTCTGTTCATTGAGCATTTGATTTTCCAGCACAAGTTCACACACGATCTCTAATAATTACATCCATGTAATTATGTTCATGTGTTGCAATTCACACCTTCTTTGCCTTTTGCAGCTGGCCACAAGGTTCCCGCCGGCGTGCGGATTATGGTTAGCATAGTCACAGTGCATCACGATAAGAAAGTTTGGGGCGAAGACGTTGAGAAGTTCAACCCGGACAACTTCTTGCCGGAGCGCGTCCAGGCGCGTCATCCTTACAGTTACTTGCCTTTCAGTGCCGGTCCGAGAAATTGCATCGGCATGAAGTACAGCCTGATGAGCATGAAGACGATGATCATCCATCTGGTGTCCAACTATCGCCTCAGCACAGAGCTTCGCATGGAAGATCTGCGCACGCGATATGACGTAATGCTTAAGCTGATCAACAAGCACATGGTGTCCATTGAGGCGCGGTAGAGGCTGTGATGAGATGTCTTGCAAGTTATATAAATAAAAGCTTGCAAGTGTCAAGGTGTGCGGATTGTCTTATTTCATGGTGGGCAGCGGAAAGTCCCCAAGTGAGATCCAGAAATCAATCTCCTCAATCTCAGTCGGCGAAGAGGAAAGAAGAGTTCTGCTGAAGAAGGTGTCTGAGAATTCGGACCAGATTGTGGTCAGCGACAGAAGGGAGGAGTGTGTCTTGAAGGTTGATTCCTTCAGTTGATTCTTTGAGTATCGACGCCAGAGTGCCACAAGTTGTGGAGGAATAAGAAATGTGGAAAGCAGAGTCGGAAAATGTAATTTTGCCTTTTTTTCCGAAGAAATAAACGTTGATTTAGACGCTTGGTTCTTCGCTCTTTGAGAAAAGTGATTTATTGGTGGCAATTTCCTCACAACCTCAACATTTTCATCATCAATCTCATATCTCTGGCCTACAGTGCAACATCCTGCGAAGGAGAATGCAGTCACTCCTAGACGGATTCACTTACAGTCCTCTCTTTGCTACTTTGCAGCTGAAGACGCTTGTAGGAATCGTGGTGAGGGAAATTAGGGAATCTTACAGTCCATTCCAAACTACTTATAGGCAAAAGCCTCCAGCAGAAAGCCGTAGTGAGATAAGGAGAGTTTCTTAAAGGTGTTTTCAACCATTTCCACGGGAAATTCTTACACAAGTTCAGACGCTGTTGTGGAGTTTCTCAAGGAGCAAAGTATTCTAGAACCTGGCCAAGAAGTGGGAATTTCGTCAGGAGAAGTCAAAGGGAGGAAAAGGACGCACGATATGCACTGCTGATGACCTGGGCTCTTCAGCAGAGTGACTTAGAAGACGAAAGACGCGCAATCAATGGCTTTTGTGCAGCTAAGAAGCTTGTGACACCGGAAACAGCAACAGCAGAAGAAATACGCTAACCGAGGAGCCCAGACAGCTGTTTGAGGGTCAGCGGCGTGTAATCTTACAGAATCTTGATGGCACTTGAAGTTCCAGAGGAGTGAAAGCCAGGATCTTAGCGCTTTACGACTCAATTAGAAGCTCTCGAAGTTCTAATTGTGGCAACAAAGCGGAATCTCAAGTCCCAACAATCAGCCAAAGAGTTCGGATTGCTGAATCTCATTTTTGACCACAGATTTAAACCATGACAAGCATCTGGTCAAGATTGATGTAATGCCTAATTAATTTGCGGAGTGTTGATATTACACGGAAACTTCTTTCTGACGCCAGTAATTTCTTGAGGACACTCTTTCCCGGGCATTTCAGACAATCACTCTCGACAGCTTTCTTGTGTGCAATGCTTCCGCCAACACCTTTATATTTGATTGTCTTCTGTTTGACGAAAAGATTCGCAAGTGATTTACTTCAAATATATTCTCATATGTATAGTTAAATGGTTGGATAAATATTTGGCTATTTTCTGTGCACCATTTAATTCTGACACAAAAAAAAGACTCATTCAAAATTCTGCGTTTTGTGTGTGGCTTTGCAAAGCTCCTTTGCTATTCTCTCTCTCTCTCTCTGTCTCTCTTTCTCTAACAAAATAGTTATCAAAGCAATTACATCGAGTAAGAAGCTTGTCTTTTGATCTCTTTGGCGTCTCTTTGACCTTTTCCTCCATATTGATCCCAAACTTTCACCGCAAAACCCATTCTTTGCATTTGATTCAGGCATTTGTGGCCGTCACAAAATGCTCTCTTCAGCGGTGACGAAGCTCTCTCGGCAAACAAGAAGTCGATGATGTCTCGATTGTGGCAAAAAAAGTGGCTCAAAATGCGTAAAAGACAACATCCAATATTTGAAGACACCTCCAAGAAGAAGTGGTGCTCACTTGAGAACGTCAACAACACCTTTTAGTGATTTGAGGCCCCTTTCCGCTTTTCACTTTCCCTTAAAGAGCCACTTTTTCTCCTTCTTCTTCTTCTCCCTGATGATGCTCTCAAGATATTGCACACAATTGTATAATCGCTGGCCAAAGACCACGACAATGTAAGAATCTGACCAAGAATGTGAATTTACGAGCAGTGTGAAAATCGAATAGCAAATATTTGGCATTCTTCGGCACTTTCTGGCATGCTTAATAATTATTCCATGCGAACATAGGAGTTTTGTGCCTTTGAGATGCTGTGCAAAGCCCGATAATCGCCCAAGCCAGAGATTCTCACTCTCGGCAAAGTTATGTTTTGTTTCCCATTCAGCAGAACAAATGCCTAAGATCAATATAATTACTCTTTCCCTTTTACCAGTCAACTATGTCATGTTTTCCCATTACGTAATCCCCCAGAAAAACACTGAGGAATTCCTCTGTGTTGTGAGGCACAAAAGAACTTGCTCTCCTGCTCAAGGTCTGCGTGCGCTTTTCTTCAGCTGTGCAGTCACGTTCCCTTCTTCCTCAAGTCCATGGACGCGCGCGAAAGCACACGCGAGCTTTTCAATGGCAAACGCGGTGGAAAATGGAAATTCCTCCGCCGACAGCTGGTCAATTAATCTTCATTTGTGTGCATCAACAATGGCGTGTTTGTCACGCCGGGAGAAAGAGGCTGATGAGATTTTTTTCTCCCCGCGGAAAAGCCCATCAATTGCGCAAGCCGAAAGGCCGATCGTCATCGGGACAGATGAGCAAATGGTCTGAGGGTCTCTTCTGAGGTGCGAAGAGCTTCGTATTTGCATGGACTCGCGGAGTCACAAAATAATACTCCCTCCAAGTCCATCGTCAACGTCGTCTGATGGGCACATATTTACACAGCATAATGATTCTAATTCACACCAAACAAGGGGACAATCATTGGGCATCTGAGGCACATTTTCTTCCTTGAATGGCTTTTGAACTTACATTCTGACTGTCTTGTTTCTTGTTCACATTTCTATGCGTTGTCAGATGAATGTAAACACTCTCGAGCACTCAATTTCTTGTTCTCCACACTGATCAAATACAAAGAATCTGCTCACCTCCTGTTATTTAATGCCATCCTGGCACTTTATTATCTCAAATTGGGCAAATACTTCACACATTGTGGGATCTAAAAAACATACAAAGAGGGAGAGATCAGCCACTTTCCGATTAAACCTAACCTTTCACTTTACCTGAACTCTATTATTAGTTCTTCTTTACTATCTCTTCTGTCAAGTCCCTTCTGTCTTCCTATTCCTGTAAATTAATCCTTTCTTAATCTCATATTCCGATCCAAAATAGTCTTAACTTACAGCTTTTATCACTAAAATTCACTTTTCCCCTTTTCTACTCACAACGAATCTGCTCACCTCCTCTGGATGTGTCTCCAAAGTGTCTTGTTCACAGTCTGGATAGCAGTGTACTTCTTGTGCGCTGTTTTTAAGAAACATCGGACATGAGAAATGCTGACTTCTTGAGTCGCTTACATGACACACTTTCCTATTTTCGCTTTTTCTCTTCTATTTCCATAAATACATGACTGTTTATGTTACTTTTTCTTCACAAACACACCAACTTTTGCTGTCAATTTGTTTGCATCAAATGCATTGCGAGCCCTTTTGTACAAGTTTTCGCAGAATGACGCGCCTCTCATTTCTCCCACTTGATTTTTTGGGATGTTCGCGCGCGGGAACATCGCGATGTCAGCCTATAAATGTCCGCGGACATTCGGCGGCGCACTCATTTGTTGTGCAGTGATCAGTGCCAGTGCCTCAGGATGTTCGCGCTTGTCGGGATAGTGACTCTGCTCACGCTAATCTACTTCGTGTGGACGCGCTGGGATGTAATAAAGCTCACTTGGAAGCTTCCTGGGCCGCTGCCCTTGCCGCTCGTGGGCGCGGCCTACAATATCCTGGGCAAGAATCACGAAGGTAGGGCATGAAGTGCGCATTAACACCTCGTTAATCGCTCTTTGGTGATGATCTTGGTGATGAAATGTTTGCCCGCGAGTGCGTTAATTATTGGAATGACATCAATTCGCGCTGGTGTCTTTTGCAGATTATTTGGAAATGGTTGAGGGAATGTTCAAGAAGTACTCCAGCTTTCATCACTTCTGGCTCGGGCCGCGCTTTTACTTGCTCATCAGCGATCCGAAGCTTATCCAATCCGTGCTATTCGCCCAAGAAGCCCTCAATCGTGACGATGTGTATGATTTCGTGAGTTTGCTGGGCGACGGCGGCGGTTTGCTCACGCTGAAGGGACAAACGTGGAAGAATCACCGCAAGAACCTCAATCCCTGCTTCAGTCTCAAGATCCTGCAGAGCTACATGCCGATCTTCAACGAGCAGGCAGGAATTATGATGAAGAACATGAACGCCAGACTTAATAAGGGATCATTTAATTTCTACGAGTTCATGGACGCTTGCACGCTTGACATGATTTGTCGTAAGTATTTCTGCATCATTCTCAATGTGTTGGCTTAAGTGGCATTGATTATCTTCTGAAGAAATTAACGTTCAGTTGCTAAAATGTCTCCAGATAGACGTAGAAATGAAGAAATTCGCCAGATTAGCAGCAAATCAATACGAAATTAGTGTATATTTAACGTCTACTTCAGCAGCAATCATTCCTGTGTTTATTCTTAGAGCGAACACAGACTTGAGGGTGATCTCGTAAATTACCCCCTAAACGAAGGTGCAAAAACGTAGAATCTCTAAATCATCCCCTTAAGTCTATATTTGCTCGGATTCCATCTTCAGATGACACTTGAACTTGAGATTATTTACTTTCCTCTTCTTAATTTTCCGATAATATTAAACACACAATTCAAGTGCAAATGACGTCATTTCATTCAGAAGAAAATCAATCAATCATACTTAGTGACTAAAAATCTGTAAATTTCCAGAAACAACACTTGGAACTGAGATGAACATTCAGAAAGGACAGAATCAGGACTATCTCTACGCCTGCAACAAGTGAGGATCGCCAAGATTATGATCTGTAAATCATACTGAGAAGTGATCTTTGTCTTTCAGTCTCTTCGAATTGATCACCATCAGGATTTTCAGGCCTTGGTTTCATTCGGATTTCCTGTTCAAATTTTCCGATTTCCACAAGACAACCGAGAAACTGCGCAAGATCACGTCGAACTTTGTGGAGAAAGTGATCGTGAACAAGGCGTCGAGTGACGAAGAGACCAAAGGTCACAAATCCGAGCGACGTTTGTCTGAAGACGAATTGACGTCATACAAGAAGCCGCAGATCTTCATCGATCAAGTGATGGAAATGCACAAAGAAGGCAAGCTAGAGACAATGGTAGACGTGAAGGCGCACGTTGGAACAAATATAGCCACAGGCTTCGAAACGTCCGCCTTGATCAGCAGCTATTGTGTCCTGATGCTTGCCATGCATCCCAAAATCCAGCAAAAAGTGTACGAGGAAATTGAAGGCATTTTCGGCAAGGATTGCAAGAATCCTGTCGTGGAATACGAACACTTCAACAGACTAGAGTACCTCGATCGTGTCCTTAAGGAGACGCTAAGGCTCTTTCCTGTTGTTCCTTACTTTGCACGGAAGGTCAGCAAAGACTTCAACTTGGGTGAGTCATTTCTTTGTCGCACTATTGAAACACGCTTACTCACGCTCCGCCATCTTGCTTTCGATCATCCGCGAGCGTCTTTCGTTGAATGATTTTTTATTTGCAACAAACAATTCGTCTTAAAGTGACCAGATTGATCGAATTTCACGATTAGATTCACTTTTCACTGGAGCGAATCAACTTGGGATCAATTTCATCACTTTATTCAAGATGAAGCCTGACGTATCCCGACTGTCCTGCGTCGATCCTCCGAATTTCGGAAAACCCAGCTGATCCTCTCTCGTTCCTCCATTAATTAGTCAATATATTTCCCCTAAAACTGTCGATATTTTAATCACTTCAATGTAAAAAAAAGCAAATGATAGATTTCTTAGAAAATGCTTCAACGCAATTCAAAATACTGCGCAAATTTCTCAAGAAGAAAAGCATTTTGAGCACGTAAAACACTCCTGACCATAATATCTCCTCCTTGTCTTGCATGTACGTTGTTATTCACTCTTGCGATCTTCTCGATAACAAGCAAATATTTGAACTGCATCGCGATCATGATCGCGCTTTGTTTGCACAGACGCGCCGTCAAGTGATGAACAGAAGCGTGTTTTTAACCGTTTTTACGGACAACTTCTGTTCATTGAGCATTTGATTGTGGAAAATCGGGACGATAAAGCACAGATTATATCATATTTGCATAAGTTCACACACGATCTCTAATAATAACTCATGTTATCATTTTCATGAGTTACAATTCACACCTTCTCAGCTCTTTAGCGCTCTTTTTGGGAAATGTTTGACAAGACTAAACACTTTCTACGCACGCTTTTCGGCCTCTTTCAGCCGGCCACAAAGTTCCCGCCGGCGTGCGAATCATGATCAGCATGATCACAGTGCATCACGACAAGGAGATTTGGGGCGAAGACGCTGAGAAGTTCAACCCTGACAATTTCCTGCCGGAACGCGTGCAGACGCGTCATCCTTACAGCTACTTCCCCTTCGGCGGCGGCATCCGCAACTGCATCGGCATGAAATACAGCCTGATGAGCATGAAGACGATGATCATCCATCTGCTGTCCAACTATCGCCTCAGCACTGAACTGCGAATGGAGGATCTGCGCACGAAGATCGACGTGACGCTGAAGCTGATCAACAAGCACATGGTGTCCATTGAGGCGCGCTAGAGCCTAGGAAAATGTCATTAACTTATTTGTTTTGCAATTTAGTGTGTAAAGTAAAGAAGAGACACAAGGTTTTTCCACCAAATCCACCGTCTTTTGGCTCTTTTGGCGGCAAATAAGACGCAATGTTTGCTCGCGATCGTTGGGGAAGATCAGAGACCAATCGGCACGAGATATTGCGCAAATAGGCGTCTTTTGCAGTGAATCTTGAGTGGAAAATTTGTGAATTTGATCGCAGATCGATACAATTTCAATTTCTGATCACGTTTTGCTTATTCTTATTAATTTATTTGAGTAAATTGATGATTTTGGAGATAATTACTGTTGAAATTCAGAATCTTGAATCTATTTTTGATATGATGAATAGAGAAATTCGAGGAAAAACCTATCAAAATAGCTTTAAAACAGATTAATTCCGAGGAATTCCTAATATTGCTGATCTTTTGAGCTGAAAAACTGCTTAAATCTGCTTTAAAATTGATAGAATGTTCATGCGAAATATTGATGATAAATTGCACTCGAGTGATCGTCAGTTGTTTCCACCTCTTTGGCTTATCAGCATTTTTTCCGCCGTCTTGATGATCGTGCGCGCTTTTGGCTGAGCGAGTTTTGGAGGCCATTCGGAGCAGTGAAAGTCACCGCGATCGCCTCAATACTCGTGCCTTCGATAGCTCAGTTGGTAGAGCGGTGGACTGTAGAGAGAGATTTCCTCGGAATCCACCAGATTCCATGGGAGTTGCCCAGAAATCCATAGGTCGCTGGTTCAAATCCGGCTCGAAGGATTCTTTTTGCCTCCTTCGGCGAATAAAGCGCAAATTTTGCCCACAAAAGACACTCTGTGAGTCTCTCAAGCTCTCATGAAGTGATTCTCTTGTTAGAAGTTTCAGTTTCAAGCCATTTTATTGCCCACAAACACCCTTGAACACTCTTAGACTCTTCTCCTGCCCACGCGATCCCGCGGAATGAGGCGCAATTCCGAGCCGTGCTTCAGGAAAACCGTTCCCGCCGTTTGCGCCGGACTAATGCCGATGCCGTCGTCCGTGATGATGGCGCTGGTGGCCGGCGGCACCTTGAATTCCTCCGCGGCGAACTTCAGCACCGCCGTGAAGGGAGTTGATTCGGGAACACTCAATCTGGTCGAGAGACACCAAAAGTCGTTAGCAACATTTTTGAAAAGCGTGTGTCTCGGATAAAGTCTCCAAAAACACTTTCACTTCAGACACGATGAAAGATTCTCATGAGTCACAAATTGACTGGTAAATTGTGAAGAAGAGAGATTAACTGGCATTCTTACACTTTGAAGGGCAGCTTGGGATCCGACGTGAGGGTGATCTTGAAGGTGACTTTAGAGACGCTGCGGAAAAGCATGAGAGAAACAAGGAAACATAAGTTTACTGCATTCTGAGCAGAAATTGAGAATTAATTCAATTTCAGGGATCTTTTTAAGTCGTGAATTGATGAGAGTGTCTTTCAGTACTCACGCCATGACGGAATTACTGGAGTTTCTCTATTTATCGGGATGTTTTTGAAGGAGACCTAAACGGCATGACAGCCACCTCATCAACACAAAACACTTTGGAGACTTTCGGCTTGTCATCTTGACAGCCGAGGCACACTTTCCCGATTCGTTGAATTTCTCCCAAACAGCTAAAAAAAAATCAGAATAAGACAATTTCCACGGAGTTTGAGAAGGCTTGAGGTGTTTTTACTCATAAATTCTTGTCAATTCTACATAAAATAGTCACTTTTCCCTTTGGAAATTGAGACAAAAAGCGGGCTCAACCGGGATTTGAACCCGGGACCTCTCGCACCCAAAGCGAGAATCATACCCCTAGACCATTGAGCCACTTAACGAAGACCACGCGCCAAAACTTCCCACCAAATTTCCACCAAAATCGCCCCCATTTACCTGCTTTTATCCACATTTATCACACACCGTCGAAATCCACCGACTGTCCAGGCGATTTTAGCGATTTTCACCCCAGAATTCAACACTTTCTCACCCTTTTCCCGCTTGGAGACTTTCCAGCAAGGACTCATTCCCGATCCCGGAGGAGTTTCGTCAAGAATTCCATCGTTAAGATCAGAACAGTGGGAATTTGAATAGAGATTCGCCGTGTGAAGCGATGGAAGTGGATTTGAGAGCTCTGCAAGCGGCTCAATGGTCTAGGGGTATGATTCTCGCTTTGGGTGCGAGAGGTCCCGGGTTCAAATCCCGGTTGAGCCCGTTTTTTACAAACATTTTGCCACTTTTCATCAATCTCAGAAGCTTTCTTTGTGACATTCTTTTGAAAGTCCATGAAAAAATAGGAGATAAAAAGACTGGAATTTGTCATTTTAAATATTTTATTCTTACTTCTTCAATGTAACTCAAGTATATATATATTTATATAATAATAATATATGTATTTATTATCAGGAGTTAAATTATCAACAATCAAAATATTTCTTGCTTTTTTCATCATAATTTTTGTCTTATAGATTTTTTTCTCATTACAATTTTTTTACTTCCCTTCTTTTACTGCTGAATTCGTTTACTGGTTTTTACTTTATTTGTAGTTTTCCAATTCTATTTATTTTACTATTAATTCAAAATTATGTTCTCATGATTCTCATCGTGTTATTCTTGTTTTTTTAATGCAATTTAATTAATTCATCAATGCTAAAATCTAACCTTTTTTTTGCTATTTCGACAAAATTGTGTTACAATAAATTGCATTTTTTGTTGATTCTAAACTACGGTTAAAAAGACAAGTTGTTGGAAAATTAAAGGAAAGAAAATATATTTCATGATAAAGAAACAAAGATTCTAAAGGGCAAATCAACAACGAAAGAATTTAAGGGGGAAAAATCAATCAGTTTTTTGCAAAGGAATGCTAAATTATCTCTTTCCTTAAATTGTTAATTCATACTTTCTACGTTTTCATTTCATCTTTCTTTAATTATGTTTTAATGCTTATAGGCAAAATATTTTTACTTCTTTTTCTTTTAAGATTATATTCTCTTCATTATAATTTTTATCATCCATTTTTCCATCTTTCTTTCTTTTTTATATTTATGTTAAAACCTCAGCAATTTTTTTTTTAATATTATAAGTAAATATTACACAAAGAAATATTACCATCAATTCTTTTTTCATTAGATTTTTTTTTACCATCTTCTTCTTAATTTAAATACTGAAATCATCATCATTCTTCATGCTTTTTCATCCACATTTTCCCTTCTTTTCTTCTTCTTCTCTTTTCCCCGACAAAAAAAAAGACACGACAAAGAAAAACGGACTTAAAGTTAATCTCTCAGTGCGTCAATGAATTTGATCAATTTGATGTTTTGTCTCTCAATCTTTTAGCTATTTTTATCTTTAATTTCTATGCAAGAATCAAGTGTATTTTTCTCTTTTACTACATCTTCTTAACTTACAGTGTTTTTCTGACCAAATTTCTCTTTTCCCCAGGAAATTCTACACACTATTTTTTTTCTTTCTTTCTTTCTGTATATATTCAAATACAATTCCACCCCTTTTTCTCTCTCTTATTTTCTGTTTCTCTCTTTTATTTACACACATCAATCGCTGAGCGCGCGGGGAGTCGAAGCGTGTGCCGGAAGTGGAAAGGCGCGGCGCGGGGAAAGAGCGGCGAATGTCTACATGCGGATCGTGCGGCTCAAGATGGACTTAACTATGCCGAAGCTGAGCGTGAGCAGCTTGGCTAAATGCTGCGCGGGCGCGCCCAGGCCGCCCAGGAGCGCGCTCTCGCCCTACATGCCGTAGCCCTGATAGGGCATGTTCGGCGCGTAGCCGGGCACGCCGTACGCCTGGGCGTACTGCGGCGGCACGCCCATGCCCGGGCCCGCCGTCAGCATCAGCTGCGGCTCCGGCAGGATCATCGACTTGTGCTCCGCCTGCTCGCCTTCCTGCTGCCGCTGCGCCTCGTTCAACTCCAGCTTGTCCACCTTCGACGTGTACTCGCGAATCACCTGCGCAAGAGAAGGGAAAGAAAGAAACAACATCGCGCATTAGTCACGGATTAGCAATCAATCACGACGATAGAGCGACAGACTTCTTTCTGCCATTCAACACACTTTCTATGCGTGGGGCAAATTTAAGACTAAGACAAGAACTAGAAAACAAGAACAAGAAACTAGACAAAATTGGGCATTTTTCAACGAATTTCATTGCATTTTACACACAGAGTCAAACGAAGAACTCTTTGCAACTTTAACTTCATCCCATTCTTAATAAGCTGTCATAACTATAAATTCACTAAAAGATGTTACAAAATTACGATTAGTATCTTATAAGAAATGTGGTGAATTTATCTTCTGCGAAGCTTGAAATGTTAATTCATATTTTTCATCCCATAAAGACAAGAAAACCCGGAAAATTCATGTGAAAATCAAGGAAATAGACAATAATGATGTTTTTATTGGATTTTTCTGACAATTGAGATTGAGGTTATGTGTTTTCCGGACACCCACCCTTCAAACCCTTTCCAAGGAAACCAATTAGATTTCCCAACACATTTCACGCGTACATGTCGTGACACGGACATTCTGGTTAGCAGAACTTTTCGAGAATTCCATGCGACGGGTGCCTCGAAAACTATAAAAAGTCGAAATCGCCATTTTTCAGCAAAGCGAGTGAAAAATTTTGCATTAAAACAGTTGCGAAATTTGCCAAATTTACTTCAAAATACTAAAAATGCCTTCAAATCGTTCGTTAAAGTGAAAATATTTCTCTGTATTTTTTATTTTGTAAATGTTTTATTAGTATTTATTGAAATTTTTCACTAAAATGTGGCAAAATTAATAGAAAATCTGAAAATATTACTTTTCAAAGTCGATTTTTAATGGTTTTTGAGTCGATTTTATACAAAAAATCAACTTTTCATACTTCAATTGAACTTTTTCTTAATGTTTTCAAGTGAAAAAATTTAAAAGATATGAGAAATATTCATTTAAAGTCCAGAAAAACATTTTAGAATAATTCTGAAAATCTACAAATATTTTCTAAAAAGACGTTTTATGCATTTGACTGCAATTTTTGAGACATTTTTCTTGGAAAAATTGTTCAGCGTAAATAATGAAAATTCGACTTTTCATTCGCAAAACATGACAATTTTTTTCCATTTGTGCTTTTTAGATAAATAAGATATTTTTCTATTGTCTCATAAGATACAAATCTTAAAATTCTTGTACAGAAAGAACAAATAAAAGACTTTTCAAAAATACATGAAGACGAAAACTATGATAAATCGACTTTTCATAGTTTTTCATTCACCCGTCGCATGGGAAACACGCCCAATGTCAGGAACAGTCGTGGATGAAGATGTCTTGTCACTGGAAAATGGCAAGAAACTGGGCGGAAGTTGTGTAATATTCTGCTCTTAAAACACCATCAAAAAAAGCCATAAATTACATTTTGACAGCTGAAATTCGTATTAAATAAACACCAAATTATGCTTTGCAACACCTTTTCGTTCGTATTTCATTCGTACTTTACACTAGCGCCGCCTTGCGGCCCTAAAAATAATATATGAAAACATAAAGTTGCAACAACAAATTAGTAACTTTTACGAACTGAAATATAAAATCTGTAAAGTTGCAACGAGCTCAAAATTCAATAATAAGTAATCAATTTTCCTGACAGTTTGTAAAAATCATGTGGGAAATCCTAGAAAAATCCTTAATATTGTCTCAAAATGATGAAATTAATGAATTTTCATGATATTTTTTGCATTAATTTCAATTTATGAGCAAAATTAAGTGAATTTTAACCCATTTCAAAAGGAAATCAAGAAGAAAATCTCTAAAAGAACCCTTAAAATGATGTGATTTAATGCAAAAAGAAATATTCACATCTTGAATCATCTCAAAGAGACATTAAACTTAAAGGATTCTAAAGGAATTTTACGAAGAAATCCATCAAGATTTCATCTCTTCTCATCCACACAAGATTAATCTTCTTGTCAAAGAGATTCTTCTTCTTTCAAGTCTTAATAAATCAGCAATTTGCGCCCATTTGAGCTGAAAAATCACCTGAATCAAGTACGGCATGGCGAAATCCATGATGTTGTGTCGCCAGGCGAGCTCCAGAATCACGTCCGGCCGCAGCAAATCGTAGCACTGCAGACGAAAGAAGAAGCGAGAAAAGCGCGTGAGTAAAGGAAATGGCGCAAATTGACAAGGAAACGAACCTGGAAAAGACAGGCGGCGAAGCAATCGAAAGCGCCTCTGTCCAGGAACCAGCCGAGCAACTCCTCAGCGATCTCCTGCTGATGCGACTCCGCCGCATATTCCATCGCGTCCTTGAACAGGCGATCCTTCTTGCACAGCTCAACGCTTTGCTTCCAGCGATTGTTGCCTGAAAAAGCAGACAGAAAGTCAGTGAAAGTGTTAAAATTCTGTGGAAAATCATGTTGAATTTGATGCAAAAGTACTTCAAAACACTTCATTTCTTTATTATTCTAAGTATAAAATAATCTTTCTGTCTCAAAAGGATAGAAAATTAATTTAATTCCGCGTTCTTTGCATTATTTCAGGATGAATTAGTCAAAATAACTTGAATTTTAAGCGGTTTAATAAGGAATTCAATCGTTTAAAATGAATCCAAGTCATAAGATTCGATTTTTTCTCAAGCTTAATCAAATTTTCATTGTTTTAAAGACTATTTTGATGGAATAAAAAATATATAAAGTTTGTTAATTGAGTTAAACATGGAGAAACTGATATTTTGAATCAATTTTCAGTACAATTCATCCCATTATTTTGGAGTTATTGAAGTTATCGACAATTACCGACACTTATCGACAAGAATTTCTTGCAATTTCCTTGTTTTTAACACAATTTTAGTGGGAAAATAAGACTAAATCAGACTAATTACTCTTAAAACTATCAATTTTAACAATTTTCCCCCAAAGATTGTGTTTAAAAACAAGAAAATTGCACACAATTCGTGTCGATAACTGTCGGTAATTGTCGATAACTTGAGGATAAGGATGAAATTACCTTTGTAGAGATAGGCAGCGATGCGCCTGAACTCCGTGAGCTCGTGCTTCTCCAGCTTCTGCGCCAGCGCGATGTTGTCGAAGTTATCGAAGGCGTCAATGGACGTCCTGAGACCCTGATAGTCCTCCTCCTCGATCAGCAGTCCATTCAGTGCCTCATTGATGGCCTTGTTGTTAAGATTCTGCACAGAGCGCAAGTACGGCTTCACCAGTTGCAGATGATTGGTCTTGGTGAAGAAGCCAACGGCGCGCGTGTGATCCATGCGTGGCGCCAAGACCAACAGCATGTCGTTCAGCAGCAGCGGTTTGTAGTCCAAATAGAACTGAATCGCCTTGTAGTACAAATCAATATTGGCCACCTTTGTGATGATATCCTTAAAGTGTCCCTCACGCCACGCTTCTGTTGGATGTGACATCATTGCCTGCACAGCATTATCATATTCTTCATACTTGTCATAGAGAAAGACCAATTCGGACCACAAGTGTGCTTGTTCGGCGGCACGCAAGACTTTCGGAATGTTCACACGTGACCAGAACAACTCCAGATGTTCACGCATCTTGCTGGGTTTGTATTTGGAATAGAGAATTGCCAATTCCGTGAACATTCCCATATGAGCACGCTCGAGACCCAAAGCAGCCTCAAGAAGTGCAATGAGTTCCTCAAAGTGTCCACGATCTTGATAATAATTGATCAAATCCTCCAATTCATCGGCATGCACGACAATGTGAAGACCACACATTTGCGCCAGCCGGAATTCCTGAGCGTCCACACATGCGAAACACACTTCCTTCCACGTGCGCGTCGAATTGGCCTTCCTGGCGCTATCCACGGCGCCCTGGAACTCCTTCAGATGCACCAAAGTGATGGCGAGACGGGCGAAATTGCTGACATTGTTGTACAGCAGCTTTGCCGCATCGTACATGCCATCGTTGAAGCATCTGTCGCCAATCTTCTGGATGTCAGCATGATTTGGACCCGAGATGAACTCCTCCAGATCCGCAAGACGTCCAGTTCGTGCATAAGCATAAATCAACTCACTCTCAATGTAACTCTCGCGCGCCTTCATCCTCGCCATCTGCAGATAGCGCACCAGATCGTCCCAGGATTCATTCTTGCTGGCCGTCTCGACGACATCCATGTAAGCACTCGGATCGTCAGCTTTGATGTACGAATCGATGGCCTCCTTCACGAGACCTTTCTGGAGTTGTGCGCCGGCCAATTGAGACCACACCGCCGGCTCATTGCAGCGCTCAGCGAACTCATTGGCGCGCTCAAGATTCTCCACCTGTTCAATCAACACCTGAATGGCCGACGTGTTGACGTCGAACTTCTTGAAGATGGCAAAAGCCTCTTCGTACAGTTGATTGCTGATGGCAATGTTGGCAATGTCCGGCGCATCGTAATTGTCCAGACGATTGATGTAATCCATCACGCGTGTGCGATCCGCCTTGATTGCCGTCAAGATGAGCAAATTCTGCAAATTACGATGATCAGAAAACACTGATGAATCCAAGACAATCTTCTCAAGCAATTCAATCAATTCATTCGGCAAATCTGCCGTCATGAAAGCCTTTACGGTCACAGAAATATCATCAGGATCTTGTGTCTCACTCAGTGCCGTCTGAACAACTTGATCAATCAACTGACGCTTGTAAGGATTCGCTTCAGAAAGGACTTCAGCCCACAATTCAGCATCACGACGACGCACAAGATATCTCGCTTCAGATTTAAACAGTGAATTCTCATTGCACACCGCAATCAACTCCCTATCGCACTGTCCACGTTCGTACGCCACGCACGCCAAGTGCGGATCACGCTTCTCACAGTAGCGTCCAACCACGCGACTGTCATAGAATTGATTCTCCTTGAGGAAGCGCTCAGGATTGTTATTGGAATCAATATAGATCTTCGCCAAGGCATTGTGTGTTGCCGGTTCTGTGCAACCTTCGTGCACGCGTGACTCCAACCACGGCAGCAACAGCTTCAATCGATTGCGCTTCTCCACTTCCTCCACCAATTCATCCGTGGAAAATTGTCCCTTCACCACCAAAATCAGATTCTTTATGATATCCTCAGAGCAATCAACATCCAACAATCCACCAACAACCACTGGCAAGCGTGATGGATTGACTTTCTGCACATAGATTTCAATGTACTTCTGCAGATTGTTGCGATACAAATACAACACGAGATCGTGAACAAAGTCAAAACGATCACAAACAATAATCAATGGCAATTGATCTGTCAATTTTGCCTCCTTCAAGAAATTCTTCACACGCTCAGGATTGTAACAGTTGCTCTCGCGACAAATGCGCTCAACTTCCTTAATCTGTGTGGTTTTGCACGCCGCCTGAATGTACTTAAAGTGCACCTCAGGATCCTGACTGAAGTTGACAATCGATCCGAGGAAGTAGAACAATCCTTCGTAACTCTTGAAGCTCTCAAACAGATCAATTAGCGCCTTTGTTGTCAACTGTTCATGATACTTCGTGGCAATTTGCACGCAAATCTGCAGATTCTGCCGAATATTGGCCGTCAACATGGCCTTCAAGCACTCCAGCGAATCCTCCACACTCAGCGTGCCGAAGAAGCTCAACAGCCAGTCGGCATTCAGCAAGTGCGTGTGCACAACTGCCCTCTTGATGTCATACAGATCCGTGTAGTGCTCCAGGGCGCGCTGCAGCAGACCCGCCTTCTCGCACAGCTGCGCAATGTGCGCACGATCGTAGTGCGTGAACATGGCGTTGCCCAGAATCGCGTCCGCCACTTGTGGCGCCGACATCAGATTCATCTCCAGCAGACGCGTCTGCAGCGGCCCTTCGTTGGGCCGATTGTGCTTCAGCGCATCGAGAAGGAACGCCGTGCACTGCTGCACCATATTCTGCTCCATGAAGATGTCCACGATCTGATTGATGTCCGCCAGCGGCTCCTCATCAGCCACCAGCATTCCCGCGAATCCAGCGCCCTGCTCGGGATTCGTGCGCATCACCGAGCGCAGCAAGTAGATGTAATCCGGCGTGTAGTTCACCTGCGCGGCGCAAAGAAAGTCAATTATTAGTGATAGAACGGAAATTATAGAGTAATCTTGTGGAATATTTGAGGTTTCATAGAGTATTTAATATATATGAAAACTTTAAACCGCCATAACTCCCAATCTATGGTTTCAATCTAGCATCGTAAACTATGTTTAGAGACATCCTGATCTTGAGTACAACAGGAAAAAAGTTTGATTCAAATGTAAGGAACTTTCGTCGAGATAAAGACGTTTAAAGTTAATTTCAATATGGCCGACACACATGATGACGTCACAAACTAATAAACATTATTTTATTTAGTGAAGAAATGATGGAAATCAGTTCGCAAAACAGCAGAAATACTGGCCAATAAAGCGTGTAAGCTTTGATCTAGAGTAGAAAAGTGTTTTCGCTACTTTAGCGCCCCTGGCGGATGTTATATCAACTGACATTTGCTTTTTGTGCTGTTTTGAGGCAATTAAACCTCGTCGGCCTTAATAAACCCAGGTTAGAACGATTACAGACTTGCTGGTGATCCACGGAAGGATAAGCCAGAGCGCGAGTTGAGCCATAAAACTCGACTTATCCCTCTATGTATCGAACTTTCCCGACATTTCACAACACAAAAACGGACAAAATGATTAAATTCTTCTGCGAATCTTCCATTTTCGCAATTTTATCGTAAAATTTCACGCTTTTTGATAAAATAAACAAATCATTTGACAGCTGAAAGGGGAAAACGAAGCAAAATTGTCGCTAGTGTCGACAAAGAATAACTTCTGAGTGTGATTAGTGCCAGTTCAGCCTCGATTTGTCGCTAATCTGACCTTTTCACACTTCAAGCTCATCCACAGAGGATTGATCCCCGTTTGTATTGATTCGAGGGTTATCCGCAAGTCTGTAATCGCTCTTGGAGTCAGAGTTATTGTCATTTTTACTTTCAAACTCAGGATCAGGAAGAACCTAGAGTCTTAAGTGTAGCTTCATTGGAAAGTTCTCGATGTCTTCCATAGAATTCTTGCCAGAGAAACTGAGCAAAAGAATCTGAAATTGTACTTTTCAGTGGTTTCTCACCTTCTTGGCGTACAGCACAATCTTCTGGAACTGTCCAGTCTCGGCGAAGCACTGAATCACTTTGTTCGGCACATTGGAGCGCAAATAGATGGAAAGCGCGAGCGTCAAATCCGTGGGCTTGATGAGATCGCCCAACTCTTCGCTGCACTCCAGCTTCTCCTCCTTCAGCCACTTCTCGCACAGCTGCTTCCTGCCCTGCAGCAGCACCGGACGGCACAACTCCAGCGACTCGTACTTGTTCAGCTTGCCCTGATCCAGCAGAATGCCGAAATATTGCAGCAGCGGCGGCGAATTGGAGCCCGCCGGCGTCTGCACTTGCTGGAAACTCTGAATGGTCTGTGGCGTGCGCAGAATTCCCTTCGGTGCCAATGCAGCGACCTTGGCCGCCTCGGCATAGTGTCCATTCTGGAAGAGATTGTTGAACTTGTGCACAAACAACTCTTCAGCGCCCGACAAATTGTTCCGCACGGCAATTCTCAGTGCCAAATCCGCATTCTGCAGCGTATTTGTGATGTAGGGAATGAGATGATCCTCCTCAACAGTCACAGACAGCACTTGACCCTTGCGATTCACCCCAATAATCCCGCCGCTCGCCTCGTGCGGCGCCGTGACGAAGATCGTCTCCGCCGAGATGCGATTCATGTAGATACAAGTGGCCGTCTCGATGTCGTACAGATGAATGTAGCCGTATTTGGTGATCAAGTAGATCACATCGTACTTGTCCGACACTTGCATCGCCACCGGAAAGTCATTCTGCGCCTCTGGCGGAAAGAAAACATCCACGGACTTCTTGGCGAACGCCTGATTGCCGGCGGGCGGCGTTCCCACCTCAATGATGTACAACTTTCCACCCTGCGTCGAGCGCACGGCGAAGCAGAATAGCGTCGACGCCTCTTGATTCTTCTCCATCTTGAACGTGGCAAAAGACGCCGCGTGACCCTCAATTGCCTGCGAACACTTTCTCTCCACCGAATACAACTGCATCGCGCCCACGACGCGATTCTGCAGCGCCGTGATGCCTGAAGAAGAGATCAAGAAGAACACAATTAAGCAATTAATCCATTAATTCAGCTGTTAAAGCGATGAAAATCACACAAAAATACGGAAAAAGGGATTTTATTGATGAATTTCACTCCAAATTAGAGCAAATGAAGGAAATTTGTACGATTTTGTAATCGAAAAACACGATTTTAAGTCGCTAGAACCATAAAAATACACATTTCAAGAGGCTTTTGCTTCATTTACAACTCAAAATTCACGATTTTGAGCTCTTTTCACAGCTAAATTTCCTCTGAAAATATTTTACATAGAATTCTCAGACGATTTTTGGTGTTATTTTGACTCTAAAATCGCTAGAATCCAAAGATTTTCAACTCTTTCAAGGCTTTGCTTACGTATTTGACAGAAAAGCTTACAAAAACCCACTCAAAGAGTTGAATAGACAAGAAATTTAACTCTACGCAAAGTGAAAATATGTGCAAAATGCACGGAAATGAAGAATTTCAGTGAATTCAGCATAAAATGCGACTCATAAATTGTCAAATTTCATTATAAATCAAGACAAAATATCATGATTTGCAAGAAAAGCTTCATTGGAAATAATCCAATTAATTAATCATTTCATTCGTGATGCTCTTGAGAAAACGTGATTCAATAAACACTGCTCGATTTGCACAATTTATTGCTGTGTTTCTTGGAATCTAAGACACTTTGCAATTGATTCAATGTGACAAATTAACACAAATAATCAAGACATTTTCTGATTCAATAAAGTGTCTTAAATTTATGAGTTTCTCTGGTGAAAATCTGTCGCCAAAATTGACTTTTCTCCGCTCTTGATGATTGTCAAAGTTGATGCAATCAATGCACAAAATGCTCAATTGATTTTATAAATAGTGCTTCTATTTCTCTCTCTCTCTCTTTGTCTCTCTTCTTGTCTCGCTCTGACACTTTTCCTCACACGCTTCAATTTATTTTTATTTGATTATCTCTAATTGGGTTGATTTTTCGACACTTGTGCGCCAAACAAAGTTCCTTGTTTGCTTCTTGTCACTGAGCTTGATTTAATAATTCATCATTGGGCTTTGCGTGCGTTCTTTTCGGCGCTGCAAGCGAGCGAACGCAAGAAGAAAATCTTCTCCAAAGCCCCAAAGAAACCAGCCAGAGAGAAGAGAGAAGACAATAGGCAAAGTGCACTGACGCATAGAAGAGATACAAATAGACGCTGATTGAATAATCATGTGGCTTGAGAACTCTTCTCGCCGTCTTTCGCAACATCACTTCAGCTTAGCAGCAACATTAGAGCGATTACAGACTTGCCGCTTATCCTCGAATCGACGCGAACTCGGATCAATCCTCTGTGGATGAGTTTGGAGTGTGTAAAGATCAGATCAGCGATAAATCGTGGTTGATCTGCTCCTTTACACACTCAATATATCGACGGGTGTTTCGAAGACTATCAAAAGTCAAAATCACCATTTTTCAGTAGAGTGATTTGAAGTTTGAGAGGTTTATCTTTCAGTAAATTGATAATACTGCTCTACTCTACTTTTATGCAATATTTCCCAGGTTATTCCACTGTTATTTGTTGAAATATTAACTAAAATACAGAGAGTTGATAGACAAATTGGAAAAATTTGTTACAATAAGTCGATTTTAGATAGTCTTTGTGTACTTTTTTCCAAACAATTCGTAAAAATCAACTCTTAAAGTATCAAAAGTCGACTTTTCATAGTTTACAGCGCAGCTTTGAACATTTTTCTACACACGGGGTTTTTAAGAAAAATCGTATTTCTTTAATTTTTGCCGATGTAATATTTTTACACTTAATAGAACACAAAAAAACGATTTTTGATACTCTTCGATTCACCCGTCGATATGGATTAGCCGTAATTAGTGGCTGAACTGGCGCTAAACACACTCAGAAGTTATTCTTCTTTGTCGACACTAGCGCCACTGTGCTTTTGTGTATTCAGTTGTCAATTGATTTGTTTTTCTTATCAAAAAGCGTGAAATTTTACGTTAAAATTGCGAAAATTGATGATTCACAGAAGAATTTAATGATTTGAATAATCCAGGAAATAATTCACAAGAGATTCGCCATTTTGTCTTTCCTGAGTCGTGCAATGTTTCGGCGCATTTTCGCACGAGCGCGCTTCCGTCGCGAACCCCAAAATATCGGCTGAACCTTCGATATATCGAGGGATTATTCGCGTTAAGCGAACTGTCAGTCGAAGACACTCGCGCTTTCGCTTATCCTCCCGTGGATCATCAGCAAGTCTGCAATCGCTTTTATAATGTGCAAAACTCCGAGAGTGCGTTGAGTCATCGGCAACGGAGAAGTTTTGACACACTTACCGACGAGCAGGAGCCACTGCTGCTTGGGGTCCGTGCGATAGTTGATGATCTGACAGTTGTTGAGCGACGAGTGGCGATCGAAGACCTTCTGAGGCGTCGAGTCGCCCTCCATCGACCAGTGATAGACGGAATTCTCCGTCACCAGCGCCAGCGTGTTGAGGCTCATCCACTTCCAGAACACCACGTCCTCCGTCATCGTGTGCGCCTTCATCTTCGACTTCATCTCGATGTTGAAGATCTGCAGAGTCTTTTGTGCTGCAAAAACCAAGGGGAAAAATGCCCAAATTAATTATCAATAAAACAAGTTTTCTCCTGAAATTAATTTCAAATTGAAAAAATCAATTATTCTATTTAATTTTTGAATATAATTCAAAATTAACAAGACTTTGAAAGATAAAACGTTGATAATTTATCTTCACAATATAAAAATGTTCTTCCTTTAAATTAATATTTTTTGTGGTTTCAAGACTTAAAAATGCAAGTTTTTGACACATTCTAATACAAAGAATTATTTTCACATGAAAATTTATGCATTTTTCATCGCATTTTAAAGTCTTTTGTAAGAAACTTAATTCTAGTTGGAATTTTTCTCTTTAAATTAATTACAAATTGACGAAAATTCATCAATTTTCATCATTTTAAAAATACTCTAACAAGCAAAATGTTAATAATTTATCTTCACCACATGAAAATATCTTTTTAGGACTGAAAATTGTTGTGAATTTAAGCGATTCTTATCGCATTTTGAGGTCTTTTGCAAGATACTTTATTCTGGTTTGGATTTTTCTCTTAAAATTAATTTAAAAAACAATTTTTTCATCTAATTTTCGAATAAATTCAGCAGTTTTTGTAATTTTAACAAGACTTTCACAACATCTCAACATAAAACTATCTTTCTAGGACCAAAAAATGCTTCAAAAATTGACAAATTGATTTAAAATCCTATCAAATAAGATATTTTACTGAAATTTTTCTTCTTATTTGAAAGAAAAGCATTAGAAAAGAGTCTAAAATTGACTAACAAAACTTAAATCACTATTTTTCAGTCCCAAAAAGACTCGTTTCAACAACAAAGCGGCACAGAAAATCTTCTCTTGAGCCAATTTCTTTGCATTTCTTCCTGAATTTCCGCCTATGAAAGCCCTAAAAAAGGCAGCAAAGGACGAAAGGACTGACCTTTGAGAGCGATGACTTTGCTGGCCGGATTCATGATGGCCGAATCGGCGCTGATCGGGCGCCGGATGGGATTCGCCGTGTCGTTCATGTCGATGATGACGACTTGAGCCGTGTCGCCGACTTTCTCGCGCACGCAGATGAACTTGTCCGACTCCATCGTCAGCGTGCTGAAGGAAATCGCATTGATGTTGATCCCGACGCTCGTGAGCTGAAATCCAAAAACCACAAACAGAATGAATTTCCTCCCATCTTTGTGTGACCCAGAAAATTATTCCCATCAACGCGACGCGCGAATGGGAGAAAAATATTGATTTTTTCCTTAGAAATTTCACATGACAGAAAAATTCCCCCCAAATTGAAAAAAAATTGACCACAGAAACAGAGAAAATGCAGAATCAACAGAGAGAAAGAGAGAGAAAAGGACAGTCGAGTGGAAAATAAGAAATGAGAAACGAAGAAAATCTCTCAAGCATATTTCCTCAATTGAAGTGAAAGCTTGGATAAGAGTAATTGCCTCAGTTTTTTTTCTTTCTTTCTCTTCTTCTTCTTCCAAAACATCTCATAATTCTTCAATCTCATTCTTTCTCCTTCACAAACTTGATATTATTATATTAATATTTTTTTGCCCACTGAAAAACACACACGATTTGCGTGTTTTCTCAACATCACAAGAGGATTTTTTTTTGTCATTATTTTGCAAAGCAAGATTTTCCTTCCAGCATAATTCGACGGGTGCCTAGAAAACTGTAAAAAGTCAAAATCGCCATTTTTCAGCAAAGCGAGTTCAAAATTTTGCAGTAAAACAGCTGCGAAATTTGCCAAATTTACTTCAAAATACTCAAAATGCCTTCAAATCGTTCGTTAAAGTGAAAATATTTCTCTGAATTTTTTATTTTGTAAATGTTTTATTGGTATTTATTGAAATTTTTCACTAAAATGTGGCAAAATTAATAGAAAATCTGAAAATATTACTTTTCAAAGTCGATTTTATACAAAAAATCAACTTTTTCATACTTGACTTGAACTTTTTCTTAATGTTTTCAAGTGAAAAAATTTAAAAGATATGAGAAATATTCATTTAAAGTCTAAAAAACATTTTAGGATAATTCTGAAAATCTACAAGTATTTTCTAAAAAGACGTTTTATGCATTTGACTGCAATTTTTGAGACATTTTTCTTGGAAAAATTTCTCAGCGTAAACAATGAAAATTCGACTTTTCATTCGCAAAACAAGACAATTTTTTCCATTTGTGCTTTTTAGATAAATAAGATTTTTTTCTATTGTCTCATAAGATACAAATCTTAAAATTCTTGTACAGAAAGAACAAATAAAAGACTTTTCAAAAATACATGAAGACGAAAACTATGAGCCTCTTTATGCCGTGTCGGCTTTAATATAAATGCAGCATTTATATTAAAGCTAGTCCGACATGGACTTAAAAGTCGGCTCAAACCGCGCGGTGGCGCATGCGTGTGAGCTGTCAAATTCTCACACACATCCTCACTGAACGTCATTCGTGACTGCGCGTCGCGTTGCGACATGATTCGAGTTCAGTTTAAGCGCGTGTGTCCCGGTATCAACGCCATGGACTAAAATAAAGCCGAATATTGTTAAATGCTACTTTAATGATAAATTTAGCATTTAACTTGGCCCGGCATAAAGAGGCTCTATGATAAATCGACTTTTCATAGTTTTCCATTCACCCGTCGTAATTAAAAACCTTAAATTCTCTTCACTTTCTTCTCTCCCTCTTTTGCTGACAATTACAAGAATTTAATATAAATAAATGTTGCTCTAAATTATTTCCAACATTCAACAGTGTTTTTTTTGTGATAATGCGAATTAGACAAAACAACTTAAGTCAGCAGCAAATAACACTGCAAAATTCTTGCTGATAAGGCAGAAAATCAAAAGCAAAAGACAAACTTCGATGAATGATTCACACGATTGACAAGATATTCAATTGAACAAAAAAAGAGGGAAAAAAACGCTGGAAAATGATGTCATTTCGCTGAGAATCAAGATAAAGAGGCAAATGCACTTTGAAGATCTTTTCTCTCTCTCTTCGCCAAAGTCAAATTGAGCAAATATTTACTTCGCAAGAGCGTCATTTTCAAGGCTCTTGCAAAATTGAGCAAAAATTCATTGTGCGATGGAAGTGAAAATAGCCCCAAAAAATCATGAAACAATCCAAGAATAGAAAAAGGCCAGAACAAGAGGACGATAAAGAGGTCTTTTTATCTGCCACTGACGCGCGATTCACTCCTCTAATCTTGACTCTCTTTATCTCTCTCGCGCTTCGCTCTCTTGGATTCTCTCTTCGTCTTCTTCTTCTTCTGGTGCTGCTCTCAAAATCCTCCCTCAAATCAAAAGAAAACTCTCGCAGCGTCAATTGACGAACCCTTTTTCCTTCAATTCCTCGTGTGTGTGTGTGTGTGTGTGTCCATTGATGGGAAATTGCAGGAAAAGTCAGACGACGAGAGGTCAACAAAGGGAGGAGGAAAGCGTGGGCGGCGAGCGGAAGGAAATCGATGGCAGAATGCGTGGGTGACATTTTCATCTATGCTTCTATGCTTCATCTATGCGCCCACGATGGAAGAAAACACCAAAAACCACCCACTCTCGCCGTCCGCGGCATTTTCCCACCCATCGCGAAGCCCCAAAGCACAGAATTGTGGCGCAATTGACGAAGCCAATCAACAGACAGTCGCCGATCGACATTTTCTTACTGCTTCGGCTAAGAAAAGTCTGCAAAAAGTGATCATTTTGAGAGAAAAAACAGCAAGAAAAACACTCAAATTTCTCTTTTCTCATTCTTAGAAGTGTTTTTGTGCTAAAACTTAAACAAATATGTTGATTTTTCAAGTGTTGAATTAAGTTTTTAGTCATTTTCTCACTTATTCACCCTTTAAACTTGGTAAAATTACATAATTTCATACAGAAAAACACAGTTTTAGTGATTTCGTTGAGAAAATAATCATTTTGGACTACAAAAATATGAAAATGTAAAGAATTTAGTTTATTAAGAAATAATTTGCTCTGAAATTACTAATATTTGTTTATAAATGTGATTTTTCATGTTTTTAATTAAGTTTCTAGAGTTTTTCTCACTTATTCACCCTTTAAACTTGGAAAAATCAACCAATTTCATACAAAGAAATACAGTTTTTAGAGAATTCAATAAGAAATTAATCATTTTGAACTACAAAGAATATAAAAATGTTAAAAATCTAGTTTATTAATCAATAATTTGCTCTGAAATTATTAATTTTTGTTAATAATATTAAGTTTCTAGAGTTTTTCCTACAATTTCAGTCATTTAACTTGATAAAATTTACTTATTTTTATTAAATTGTGTCTGGATTAAGTTTTTTTCAGACATAACTATTGTAATTAACTTCAAAAATCCAATAATATTTCATGTGCAGCGCAATTTTCTTAAAGAACATGTCAAGAAATATGATTTATCGATGCATTAAATCAACATTATTGTAATTATTTCAACATATTGCTCAAGATACGAGTATTTTTCGAGATAAAATCAACTTAATCACACGCTTTTGAGTAGATTTAATGAGATTTATCTTTTTCCTTTGTATTATTTTTTTTCTAACAATTTTTAGTGATTGAAAAATTGTTTTACCAGCATTTTCAGCAAGAAAAAACTGACTTTGAGCTGAAACAGTCGAAATAAATCATTGTGAAGAGTGAAGAGATAAAGAGAATTAGGTTTATGACCTTAGAAATCAGGCGGATTTGCAGAAAAACCCTCAAAGTTCAGTGTGAATCCTCAAAAAATGGGCAGAAATGACAGGAAAAGAGCATCAAAGTGTGCCTTGAGTTTCCAATAAGAGACGCGGCGCAGCCAATAGGAAAACCACAAGTGTTTGACGTCAATCCAATTGGCCCGAAAGTGCGCCGTCATAGTCATCACGGCTCTGTGTCATCCCGTTATTCCCTGTCTATCTCTTGTGCTCCCGACGAGGCCCAATAAATCCCCCGAAGTGTGGAAAATTCCCTCGGAAGACCACGTTTTTCGGGTGTCACTTGGTGACCTCGTCGCCGCCGCGTGACTGAATCGAGGGCAGTGAAACTATGGGGCGTCCGCGGGTGGCTCTGAGGTGGGATGAGAGGCGCGCGCGGAGCGTGGGTGAGATTTTCATTGTTGAAGAAGAAAATTCCTCCGCCGCAAACAAAGTGGCTGCGCAAACGCGCCATTTTCCTCAGCCATCAATGCTCCACCATCAATTCGCCACTGTCCGGGAGACAGGGAGCGCGTCCGGGTGGCCAGGGAGGAGTGTGTCTGGCCGCGAGAGACGCCGCGGAGGTCATCAATCCGGCCTGAGCAATCGCCCAAATGCTGATGAGTCACGCTCCAACACAGCCACACACTCTTCTGGCCACTCTGGCCACCGCAAAACGCCCGCCCAGCGCCCCCGGCGCCGCGCACAAGCCCCCCAAGTGACTCACCTGCAGGTGCTCCTGGAATCTAATCGGCAAGTCCGTCATTTTGTCGCTGCTTCTCCGCGGAAAATCACTGAATCTGGCGCCTCAGGGCGGATGCAATAAGCCACAATTTGGTGTTTCAATAGAGTCTCTCGCCAAAACACTGGGCGGATGTGCCGCACTTCACTTCCGACTTGGTGAAAACGCCTTTTTTTCTGTATCTTTTTCTCTCAAAAACTCTCGCGATATTCCGGAGGCGATTCAGCGAGCAAACATGGCTTCCACGGGCGCTCCTCAAGTTCCGTGTGTGTCTCTCACCCTTTTTCACACCGTCTTTTCACACACAGTCACCGCTCGCCGGGTGGCAAATTCACGCGCACGCGATCACGTGGTGCGTGGGGAGTGGCGTGAATGGGATTTGCGTGCACGAGCGATGGAATTGCGAGCAAATTGGGCGTTTTTCTCGTCACCGGACAAATTCCACAGCACAATTGCAATCGGCTGCCACATCTACACCCCTCCGGAAGCGACGGATGTCGCCCGAATTCGGAATGTCGAAATTTCGAACATCGCGCGCCATCATGGGCGCGTTTAACCTCACTTTGGGAAAGTTTCGAGTGTTTTGGGCGGTTTTTGGGAGCGAAAAGGATGAATTTCCTGCACACTTTCCACCGCACGGTGGCCACGAGTGCCGCAATGGGGCGACAGAGGATCCCCGTGTTCAGTGCCAGCAAACAGAGCAAGATCATGAGCAAATTGGTGCACGGCAGGGACAAAGGAAGGCGCCAGTGGCACGAGAACAACATCCCGTCGGGGACTTTTGACCGGGCAGCCTCTGCCCAGGCCATCAGCAATCCCCGCGGTCATCCGAAGCACGTGCTGAGGCGCGTCACGGTGCTGAACAAGCTGTTCATGCGGAATATCGCCGACATCATGTCGACTGGCGAGCTTTCGCAGGAAATCGTGGGCAAAGGACTGGAGATTAGTCGCGTTAAAGTGTCTCCGGACTTCCGCCAGGCGTACGTGTACTGGCTGGCGAAGGGCACGGAGGAGGACGAGGAGCTGGAGAGTATGCTGAGCAGAATCGCCGGCCGGCTGAGGCACGAATTGTCGCAGTTGCGCTTGATGGGCGAAGTGCCGAAGATCATCTTCCTGAAGGACTTCCAGCACTCCAAGTTCAGCGATGTGGACAGACTCCTGGCCAAGGCGGACTTTGGGGAGGACTTCGAGCCACTGTACATGGGACAGAAGCCAAAGGAGGCGATAGCTCAGGACAAGAACGAGATTTTCCCCTCAAGCGCGGCGCTTCCGGAGATGCGTCAGGATGTTTTTGGGCTCAATCACGCCGACATCATGCAGAGAATCACGCGAACGCTGAGCAGAACGCGCTCCGCGTGGGAAAAGTACGAATTCGGGGCGGAGCCGGAAGAGCAAGTGCCGGGAATTCAGCGTCCGGACGTGGATTTCGAGTCTCGCGCAGAGAGAAATGCTCAGCTTGAGAAGAGATTCAATCAGTTCCTTATCAGCGCCAGAAACAGACCCACAACGCCCGAACGGAAGCGACACCAGCCGGAGATTCATGTGATTCCCAGGGACGAAAGCCCTGAAGAACCTGTGGATAATTCGCTGTTCGAGGAGGATGATTTCGACGAGTGGCCAGAAGAAAAGCCGTGATTTTTGGGATCTTTTCCATTTATTTCACGGAAATAAATCTTAAAAGTCTGTTGACCTGATTATACAAAAGAGGCTTTTGTACATTCCCGGAATCGGCTTTACTCAAAGAGACCAAAGCCCATGTCGTCGTCCTCAGACTCGGATTCTTCCTTCTTCTTCTCCTCTGCAAAGAGACAAGGAAGCGCAAAAGCATGAGAATTTGTCCAGAAAACCGACATTTTGGAGCATTTTCACGAGATTTTCAGACACAAAAAGGTTAGAATCACATCGAATCATGCGAAAGATGGTGAAAATGTGTTTCATCATCGCTCTTTGGAGGCTCTTTTGGGTGTCCGGAGGGCAGTTTTTCTTACCTTTCTTCTCCTCAGCGGCGGCTGCTGGAGCTGCAGCGGCTGGGGCTGCGGCAGCAGCGGCGGCTCCGCCACCCACTGGCATCGAAGAGAGCTTCTCGCGTCCTTGAAAGTACAGAGAAAACATCGTCAAATCCGCTCAACACAACAAAACCACGTGTTTTGGCGTCCGGAAAGATCAGGTTTGGGGTATTGTCACACACTTGGTCAAATGTAACGGGTCACCGCTATGGGGCCCTTCAGACAAGCTCATTTCATCACGCTCAGCGTCTTACGGAGCATCTTTCGGCCTCAGAACTCACCTTCAGCGATCAACTCCTCAACGTTCTTCCCGTTGAGTTCGCCGACGACTTTCTTCACGCGCTCAGCGTCCACTTCGACGCCCACGGAGCTGAGGATCTTCTCCAGGTCTCCGGTGGTGGGGTTCTCCTTGCCGCCCAGCACGGCGAGCAGGTATGCAGCCACGTAACGCATTCTGTCCGGGAAGAGAGAGAGACACAGTGAGGTTAGGAAGGGAATCTCAAAATATTCCAGTCATCTCAATGAATATCGTCCAATCGACACGCCATCGGCAATCAAGGCGCGCCATTGAACATATTCTGAGGGAAATATCAAGAAAAACACTAACTTTTAAGTCCTTTTTCCGACACGAAACGTAAGCAGCACACAAAATGCGACTTTCTCGTCTGACGATTTGTGTTACAAGAGGCCGACGAGTGGTGGCGTTGCCGTGAAGTGCGGCCCGAAAATGGCCGAAGATTTTGCCACCAGGCGGCGCTGGGGCGGCGAACTGTCAAAAGAGGCAGAAATTATGTAAACAAGTGAAGACGTGTAAATATTGCCAGATAAAGTGCTTTTAGTGACTCTATGCTGTGCTGAGGCGACTTCCTGACCATGGCCAAGTGTGCGCTGGAGCCCAGTTCGCCGGTGACGAAAGTCTGGAAGCCGGAGCGTGAGTAGAACGGCGGGAAATGGCGTGAATGCGAACTGGACTTTCTCTCTCTTTGGGTGCTGTTTTAGTGTACAGAATCCAACTGGAGGCGCCCACGCCCAAGGCCGTGATGCGGAAGCACGACCTGGACAGCGCCCCAGAGCAGTACGGCTGGGAGTACCACGGCGAGATGGATCACAGGCGCTCGGAGGAGATTCTCAGCGATACGCAGGACGGAACGTTTCTCGTGCGCCAAAGTCCGGGCGCCGCGGACTTCTTCACGCTGTCCGTGCGCTTCAACCGGCGCACGAAGCACTATAGGATCTTCCACCGGCCAGGCTATGGGCACTACCTGAAGGAGGACTTCAAGCGCTTCGACAGCATCCACGATCTCGTGGCCGACGGCCTGGTGAACTTCTACATGCAGATCCACGCGGCGCCCGTGTTCCAGGAGATGCTGGCGCAGACGCAGCACAGCTACCACCAAAGCCCCTACATGACGCTCAACCGGCGCAAGCTGCGCGCGCTGTCCAAAGATCTGCGCAAGACCGTCCTCGCCGCCGGCCTGCCGCCGCCCGCCGCCGCCGCAGCGCCCGACGAGGCCGACGTGCTGCCCATCGTGTACGAGAAGCACCACGCTTTCAAGCTGCACAGCTTCAAGGGGCTCAACTGGTGCGAGTTCTGCGCCAACTTCCTCTGGGGCTTCACGGCGCAAGGCGTCAAGTGCGAAGGTGAGCGAATCCGGCGCCTTTCTTGCGCTTTGGCCGCGCTTTCGATGTTTAATCTGGCTCATGATTAGGAAAAGGTTGAGATTGATTAATTTTTCAACAGTTTTGCAGCTCAAAAGGACACTAAATTCAAGGATTCTGCTTGATTTGTTGTCGTTTAGGGCTCAGAATTGAATGTATTAGTCGGAAAGAGAAGAAATTATGTCTTTTCTCAAGTTTTAATGCTTCTTTTATGGAATTTTTGCAATATTTTCCAATAATTCAACACATTTTCCCATTTTTTCTCATGATTTTGCCATATTTCCATAAGAAATTGATTGAAAGACACCAAATTACACTATAATTCAGTCCTTTTGCGACATTTTGAATCCTTTTTTGCCAATTTTCCACTCAAAATTCACTGCGAAAGACGCTTTTATGCCTTTTGGCGCAAATATTACTTCTTTTTTTAGTGTTTCTTTGAGGGTTTATTTATGTAAATCTCTCAAAATGTCCTTAATTTCTCTGGTAAAAAGATTCTGGGTGTCTCACAAGACTAATTCAATTGGTTATTAACTCAACCAACTTCCAAGAAAGTGGAAAATCTGGGAAATCAAAGAAGTTCTTCAATGTCGATCATCAAAATCACACTTTCTTCTGGCTTTCTTAACCGAAATTCTGTTGTGCTAACGCGCTGTGGGCTTGGCTAACGCAGATTGCGGCTTCATCGCGCACAGCAAGTGTTCAGAACTCGTTCCGCCGAAGTGCGTTCCAGATCTTAAGCGGCTGCGCGGCGTCTTCGGCACGGATTTGACGACGCTCGTGGCGGCGCATCACTGCAGCGTGCCGTTCGTCATCCGGCGCTGTGTGGACGAAGTGGAGGCGCGCGGGCTGCTGCAGGAGGGAATCTACCGCGTGTCGGGCTTCGCGGACGAAGTGGAGGCGCTCAAGCTGGCGCTGGACAAGGACGGCGACTCCACGGACATGTCCGAGGCGGCGTACAGCAACGTCAACGTGATCGCCGGCACGCTGAAGCTCTTCCTGCGTCTGCTGCCGGTGCCGCTCATCACCTTCCAGGCCTATCCGGCCTTCATGGCCGCCGCCAGTGAGTACAAGACGCTCTCCAGACGACGCTTTGCCTCCTTTGCGTCATTAGACGACGGAATTTGATGCAAAGATCGTGATTTCAAGCCAAGAACTTTGCATTTTCTGTCGTCCAAGTTGATTTTCGAAAGGAAAAGACGCAGAATTATAGAAAAATTCAGTAGAAAAACGAGAAAAACGCTTATTTTCTAACGTATTTTCAGTAAAATTGGATGAAATATTGCTTTTTAATAAAATCAACATAATTTTTGTCGCTCAATTTGCATTATTTGATGATAAATTTGCTTTTTTGATCAATATAAATTGAATTTCTCCATTTAAATGATTTATTAAGATTAATTTGAATACAGAAAAACCGGAAAAACCCAGAAAATCGCAAGATTTGTGATAAAAGTGCAGCCAAAATGAGAAATTCTGCCTAAAACACATTTATTGAGCACGAAATTAATGAAATTACATAAAATTTGCTGTTCAAAAGACATTTCAAAGCATTTTTGATCGTTATTTGAATGCTTTGCATGAATAAATAATTTTTATTGACTTTGAAGAATATTTTCCGGTCAAATTTTGCAATTTCCTTCCTTTTTCTTCTTCATCTTGAGAGTCTTTTTGGTGTTTTTGGCTTTGAAAACACTTCAAATATCATTTGATAGCTTGAACAAGTCTATAAATTGCGCCAATTGCAGACTTTCTCTCACTTTCAAAGCCACTTAAAGTGCGTCTTTTGACGCTTTGATTGCAATTTCTCTCCTCTGCAGAGCTGCGAAATGCGCGCGATCAGATTCAGGGCCTGCGAGACGCCGCCAAGCAGCTTCCGCCGGCGCACTTCAACTGCCTCAAAGTTATGATGGAACACCTGAACAGGTGAGTTTTTGCTTGCGATCAGCGAAAAGCGGGAAGATTGAGGAGTTTTCTGTGTCTTTTCTTGGTCATTTTGCAGAGTCGCGTCGCATCAGAGCGTCAACAAGATGACGGAATACAATTTGGCGACGGTTTTCGCGCCGACGCTCATCGCGACGCCGCATCACTTGACGGACTTGTCGCAGGAAATCTTCATGCTGTCGCTGCTGATCGGCGATTGTCACAAGATCTTCTGAAGTTCTCTCAGTATTTTTGGCGATCTTCAAAGGCGCGTGCAAAAATTTGACGCAATCACAAAAATCTCGATTGAATGTGATAGGAAAAAATTAATAAATTAATTTATATAATTGTTGTGTGAATTGGACAAATGCAGGAAAGAAGAAAAAACAGTCTTACAAGATCGCCGAAGATTCAATATTTTTCTACCTTAGCAAAGAAAGTTAGCAAAAAAAGCACTCTAATTTTTTCTATATACACAAAAAAACACCCCCAAAAAAGCCACAAAGTGCACAGAAAATGTTTATACGAATGTGAAGATGAAATGCAATAAATTGTCACACGTGCGAAAGCGTCTTTTCTGGTTTTTTTTTTTAAGATTGAGCAAGAAAAGTGACGCGGAAAGAACTGGTTCAACACCAAGGGGGAGATAATACAGTCAGAAGTGGTGTACAGTTCAGCAAGAAGTACTTCAGAAGTGGAAGTATTCAATAACTTACAATCTTCCTTTCTTGTGTGATTCTTTTATTGACAAATCATCCAGATTCTCTGGGATTTCTGTTGAATTGTACGAAGAAACAAACATTTTCTAGGTTATGTAGCAAATCACGGGCGGATTTAGTGGAATATTTAGCATTTTAGCACATCAATTATTATGCTAAAGTCGACTAAATTGCTCAACTTTGAGAAAATTAAGCATTTTCATGCGATAAACATTGCTAAACACTGCAAACTGTGTGTTGAAGTCGATCATAACCTCAAAAAGAGTTTATTTATACCACTTTTTCCACGATTTTGACTTTAATTCAGTGATTTTGAGTTGAAAATATGATTTTATCCTCCAGAAAGCTTTCAAATTGAGTCTTTTGAGATCTTTCAGTGATATTTTTGAGGTTATGGTCGGAAGAGACGCTCAAAAAAGCGATTTCAAGTGGATTTTTACGGAAATATCGCACGGAATCTTAAGATCTTTATTACCTTTTAGGAAATCATTGTGGAAACAGTCTAAGAATTTGAATTGCTGGAAGTTTTAAGAAGTTGTGTACAGATTAAGAGCATATTATCTCCCCCTTGGGTTCAACGCACGAGACTGAAATTTTGCGAAGCCAGTGATATTTTGGAGGCTCTTTTAAAGTCCGGGTCATCCATTTAATATATCCAGATCCATAATTTCGCGACGAAGAGCGAAGAGACAAATTTCAAATGGTCATTAAGAAACAATCTGCATAAATTGTGAATAGAATCCAATGCATTGTCTTCTTTGCCAATAAAACCACCCACAGATTGATTGGCAAATCGAAAAATGCTGTGCGTCGCCTTATTTGGCGTCTAAACTATTAATAATAAAGCGACGCTAAGACGCGTTTTCTTGTCTGATCTTGGATGAAAATGAAATTGAAAAAGTGTGTTTTTTTCCAATTTTTATTAAAGCGCCAGAGAGGAATTATTTAACATTTTAACACCATTTTACGCATTTTTACTGAAATACTTTTAAACCTCTTTCAATGCTGGGCAAAAGTGAGCTTTTAAAAATGAGCAAAAAGACATTAAAAAATGATTTAGAGGATATAAAGAAACGAGTCTTAGATGAAAGTGAAATCACGCCTCTGCTTTTTACCCAAATTCTGTTGAGCGTTTGAAGCGATTTATCATGCAAGATGGCTTTAAAAGCAGTCAAAAGCAAGGGGAAATAATTTAGCTGAATTCTGTACACCACTTCTTAAGACTTGGACAAAGTTTTCAATTATTTAAGATCGTCCACTTGAAAATATAATCAAATTTCTCAATTTTAGTCCATGATTTTCCTTTTTTTTGATTTCAATCAATTCAGAAGTCAAAAATAACTCGAGAATATTATTTTTAAAGTCCAAATGAGCATTTTAATGAGTAAAAAACCAACTTTAAACTAATTAATAACATAATTACTGATATTTTCAGTAGAAATTCATGCAAGAATCCCAAAAAATCTGCTGTTTTGCAAAGAAAAACACATTTTCAAAATTATCCTAAAACGTTTTATAGACTTTGAATGAATATTTCTCATATCTTTTCAAATTTTCACTTGAAAACTGTAAAGAAAATTTCAAGTGAAGTATAAAAAGTTGATTTTTAGAACTTTTCTGAATAAAAACTACTCAAAAACTATTAAAAATTGATTTTGAAAAGTAATATTTCAATAAATACCAATAAGATTAATTAAAAAATAATTCAGAAAATAATTATTAGAAGGTGTTTTGCGGGTTTTGATGTAAATTGAGCGATTTTCCAGCGATATTAATGTTAAATTCTCAATTTGTTCTCTTGAAAAAATGAAGATTTTGACTGTTCATACTTTTCGATTCATCCTTCGATTCACAATCATTTAATAATCTTATCAAAAGCTAGGTTGTAATTTTTATGAATAGAAAAATGGTTAATTTTTGGTGTGAAATTGACCGAAAAGAACGTCAAAAAGCTGTAAAAACATCAACTTTCCGGCATATTAAATGGAAATTATTACAATTAAGGCTTAAAAATTGATATTTTCAGAAGTTATTCAGTTGCTGAATCTGTCTTAAGGGTCTTTAAGTCAGTCTTATTACCCGAAAAAATTGATCAAGATTGATTTTTCTAAGATTCGCGCCAATCTTTACACCACTTCTGCATCTCAATATCTCTCCCTTGTGCACAAAGTGATGATGATAAATATTCTAATGATCAGTGGGAAAAAAAGATAAACAAGCCTCTGGGTGGAAAAGCTGAGAGAAAAAACGGAAGAATTCGCGCTTGACCTTAACCATCCTCCTCATTGTCTGCCTTGCGCGCAACTCTCGAAGTTGAGCGCGAAAAAGAGCGCGCAAACCTACTCGCGCGCGCGCGCCCATCCGCCATCAGAGCTCTTTTTCCTTGATCTTGGCCACCTGATCTGCATGTGTGGCGCGACAAGGCGATTAATTGGCGGCCAGAGACTATAAAATCTGTGACATAATCGCGATGGGACTCAGTTGAGGTGTTAATTTCGCCAACAACGGATCTCTTTAGCTCGCGCGCTCCGCCCAAAGAAAAACAAACCGTGTTGTTCGCAAGTGTTTGTCTAAGTTACACAGGTGAATCTTTGCACAGAAAAGCAAGAGCAAAAGTTACATTTCCGACAATGGTGAGTCTCAAAATAAGGCGTGCTTTTGTGTGATCTCAGGTTGACGAGCGCGCGAAAGATTGTGTAACAACAAAAGTCATCGAAAAATTGGTTTCAAGGTGAAGATCTCGCGCCAAATTTGGATATATTTCACCCAGATTTCCAGTGTGATGTTGTTTTGGACTAAGAAATGCGCTCAACTACGGCGATCACGGCGATCGCGACAGCTTCTGTGGCCATATTTTCAGGCTCTAAACCACTTCGGCGCTCATACATTATGCATTATAGGCGATCGCGATGTCGCCCAAGGAACCCGTTTTCCCAAAACTCTGTGCTGAGCGCTTTTCGTGTGTCTCTCTTTGCAGAAGACGCCACTTGTGCTCCTGGCCCTGGGGGCGATCCTAGTGCTCTCGCCTGGCGTGCTAGGTAGGCAAACCGTTTACACGGATAACTATGGCAATTCCTACTATCGATACCATGACCCGTACACGTACTACAACCCATACACCTGGCGGCAGCAGCGCGTGATCAACCGCGGATCCTTCGATCAGGACCTCAATGGTGTGGATCACGATCACACACTTAAACTCTGTTCTCTCACGAGCACTTTCCCGCCTCATTTCAGCACGAAAAAACAAACACAGACTCATAAACAATCCTTCTCTCATTCGAGCACACCTAGCTTGCCAATCTAGCCTACCTAGGCCAGCTGCCTAACCCCAGATTCTGTCTCTTGATCCCCCGCAGCGCAGGGATGCTCGAGGAACCCTTGTGGCGTGGGCGCTCAGTGCCAGGAAGCGGCTGGCGGCCGTCCAGTCTGCTCCTGTCCCGCCGGCTACAGTGGCAATCCGCTGACGCAGTGCGTTCGCCTAGGCTGCATTGAGCACAGCGAATGTGGACTCCATCAAGTGTGTCGATCAGGAAGTTGCGTGAATCCTTGCGCAGGAACTTGCGGCACAAATGCCCATTGCGAGGTAAGACAACAATCTTAATGAGTGTTGACGAGAGCTGTGGTGAAGTGTAATCAATTGGGATCGAAGTTAGATTTAAAAAGAGTACAAAAATGAGTAATTCGGCGGCAGACGCAGATGTGAAAACACTGAAAATTCGAAAATTTCGAAAGATTTTCAAATTAAGGCACTTAAAATCAAATATCTACGATCTTTCTAGGACAAAAATGCCTATAATGTCAATGTGAAAATCATTCAAACATGACTTTGAAGATATTTGTGGTGTTTGTGTAGAAAATTTGGGAGTTTAGAGACACTTTGACGCCCACAAAAGCCTTCAGCAATTTGTCCAAAAATGGTAATTGCGTGTAAGACACAATCAATGATCGGATTTCTGGGATTTCTGCAATGTTTTTCGGCCTTGTGCTCTTGATAAGGCAAAGTTAGCAACCTCTATTTAAATTCGTTCAAGGCTACGACGCATAATTCTTGGGAACTCCCATTGATTACCTCACAAAGTGTGATCGCGTGATGGATTTTCGCGCTCTTGATCGCCTTTTTGGGTCATTTCCTGTTCCAGGTGCGCAACCACGTGCCGGTGTGCAGCTGTCCGGCAGGATACAAGGGCGATCCCTTCAGCTACTGTCGCCAGATGGATCCAGGTGAGCTTCCGATTCACTCCCGCGCCCACAAACACTGTCCAAAGTGACATGTTAATTGCACAGAACAATTGCGCACTCAATTACACTGCAATTAGCATGGCGTTTAATCACAAAGAGCATCGATATGGCCCACATTTTCACCTTGACGTGCGTGCCATTTTTTCCCCGCATAAAAAGGCCTCCGAATGACAAAATTATGATGGCATTTTCGCGTTGGCGACAAATCTTGCCATTCAATTGAGCAGACAAATAAGGCTTCCGTGATCTTTTCCAGCTGAAATCGATACACTTTTGTGTAAAAGGATTAAATCCCGAGGGGAAAATAAGCGACTTTTCCTGTGAATTTTGAGTAAAACAGACAAATTAAATATAATAATTACTGTTTATTCAGCTGTTTTAGTCTGAGCGTCAATTGATCTTTTTATGCGGAATTAAGCTAAAGAGATCAAATTTGGCAGAATAATTGGTATCAAAACATGATAATTAATGGGAATTATTGATGCTTTTTGTGCTAATAAATTGATTTATACACAAGGATTAACAATTAACGCCAAAAGTGATAAATGTATCGCAAGAAGTCACAATTTGGTTGGTAAAACACCCTAATTTCTGCTCAGAAATAACCGCAAAATGACCAAGAATCAGTTCGTGGATTGAATATTCTGACCAGAGGATCTTCCTTCTCTCCCCAGCCGAGCTGTGCCATCCGTCGCCGTGCGGCGTGAACACGCGCTGCGACGTGATCGGCGGCACGCCGACGTGCACGTGCCAGGCGGGCTTCTTCGGCAACCCGTTGACGGGCTGCCGGCACGAGTGCGAGCAGGACGGCCACTGCGCCAACCAGGAGTACTGCCACGAGTTCAAGTGCGTGTCGGCGTGCAAGCAGTGCGGCCAGGGCGCCGCGTGCTCGCGCTCCACGAACCACCGCGCCGTGTGCGAGTGCCCCGCCGGCTACATCGGCAGCCCGTACACGGAGTGCCGGCCCGAGTGCCTCGGCGACCGCGACTGCCCGTCCGGCCGGCCGGCGTGCATCTACGGCATCTGCAAGAACCCGTGCGAGGGCGCGTGCGGCGTGAACGCCGACTGCAACCTGCGCGGCCTCACGCCCATCTGCAGCTGTCCGCGCGACATGACCGGCGACCCCTTCGTCTCCTGCCGCCCCTTCACCAAGGAGGACCTCTGCAACCCCAACCCGTGCGGCCAGAACGCCCAGTGCACGCCCGGCTACGACAACACCAACCGCGAGCGCCCCGTCTGCACCTGCCTGCCCGGCTACACCGGCAACGCGCTCACCTACTGCTCCCGGGTGAGCCCCATTTGACGCCCGCGGAGCGCCAGAGCCTCTGAATGCCTTGAAATGTCCTTGACTGACGAATTTTGCACGAATTGCGCGAAATGCATGAAAAAGACGCGCTAATTTACTAAATTTCATTATACAATTTATGGCAATGCGTCAAGAATTATAATGAGCATTATTTAATGTTTAATTCACACTTGAATTGGCTGAAATTCGTTGTTTATCAACTGATTTTGATTATTTCTTCATCAAAGAGATCCAAAGACGTTTTCTTTTCTTGTGTATTTCAAAGCTCTGGAAGTTGAAAATCCATTTAAACACATTCATGACAATTCTTTGAAGCAATAATGCTGGAATTAAAGATTTGATTCTAGGAAATACGCAAGAATATGAGAAAATCTTCGATTCTATTTGACTAATTTCAATGAAATTCACTTCGTTTGAAGGCTCAAAACTCTTCAGAACATTAGAAATTCATCAAATAAGCGATAGAGGCGCTTTTTAACACCTTTTAATGACTGAAATTATGACAAACAAAGCTTGCAAAAAGGACATTTTTTAGTAGTGTTTAATTATGCTCAGGGGGAGATAATTTGCATTAAAACACCACTTCTAAACATACTTCTAGAACTCGAAGTTTTTAGACAGTTTCCACATTAATTCTCAAATTATAATAAATCTCTAAAGTCTCCATTCGATATTTCTACTAGAATCAATTAAAAATGCTTTTTTTGGACATCTTTTCCGACCATAACCTTAAAATAACACTGAAAAGTCTTTAAAAACTTCGTTTGGAAGCTGTCTTGATCACAAAATCATCTGTTATGAGTTCTGGATTCTGTGTAAAAATCATGCAAAATCTATTCACTAAATCAATTCTTTATTCATTACATAACCTAGAATTTTTTTATTATTGATTCTGCGTGAAATTCGAAAGGAATCTTCATTTGTCAGTGAAATAAGCACTCTTCCATCTTATCTCCTCCTTGGTTTCCGCCACAAATTGACTCTTAAGCGTCGAAGATCAGCTGCAAAATGAGGTTTTCTGATCCTGTTTTTTTGTCCTTCCAGGGCGAGTGCCAGGCGGACAGCGAGTGTCCTGACCACCGCGCGTGCATCGCTCTGCAGTGCGTGGATCCGTGCGTGAACCAGTGCGGCGTGGGCGCCGATTGTCACGCCAAGCGTCACGTGGCCGTGTGCACGTGTCCCGCTGGCTTCACGGGCGACGCTCTCGTGTCCTGTCGCCAATCACGCAGCTATCCAGTGGCGCGCTACTACAAGAAGCGCGAGACGAAGGCCGACGAGGCGCCCAAGAAGGCCGAAGAGCCGGAAAAGGCCGAGAAGAAGGCCTAAAATACTCACGAAGAACGACAATTTCGCAAGTACGAAAAGAGATTTTTGGGGTAAATATGTATATAAATATATATATTTTCTCAATTTTTCGTTACACAAATCTTTACGCTCTATCGGTTGGTAAGAACTCTCTTTTCCTCATAATTTAGGCAATACAAGTTCACTATCGCTAAGTTGTCTTCACTTACGCACTATTTTTTACTTCTGTTTTTCATCTCACAATGGATTAATTATAATGTTTCTCTCCTCGATTTTTTCTTTCTTTACTTTACTTTTTAATAGTTTCTCTCTTTCCTCTATTTTCTTTGAAGATTTGCAAATCTACACGGCGAAAAATGAACCCAATTCAAATAGCTCTAACTAATTATGCGACGACACAAAATCATGCTGGCAAATATTGCATAAAAATTTGATTAAAAAAACAAACAAAAAATGATTTTCTCACTAATATTTTGGCTAAGTTTTTTTTTCTCTGCTACAAACTCAAGTCACTGGAAGTCCTTTTCAATTCCCTTTCTTCTTATTTTGGAAGATACACAGATTCTCACAGTAAAAATTCATGAAACCGTCATTTTTTTCGTGTATGTTTTTCTCTAACTCAATTTCACTATATAGAAAACATTCCAGAGGAAAGCAAATTGCAAAAAAACAGTGGTTCTAAATCGATGATTTTTTCTAGCGTTGCTCTTTCGTTCTGCCGACGAGACAACTCGACCTTCTCATTTTTTTTTCTGTTCACTTTCGAGAGCAAAAGGTGGAAAATGAAATAAAGCATGTGAATATTCCATAGTTGAGCAATTTTAGTGAATTTCCAAGGTGTTTCCGGAGGCGCACGGCGTTTGTTTACAAACACGACAAACACATATGCAGTTGGAAAGTTAGAGGAAATTTGTGACATTTGAATTGAAAGCGTTTCTTGCAGTGAAATTATGGAAAAATTCTCATTCTTTACAGTTTTTATCGTGTAAATATTATAAATATTGCTTTTTTTAAGGTTAAAAAGGCTAAAATTCCACTCAAATCAACGTCAAACTTCAGTTCTTCGTTGAAAAGTGAGTAAGAATCACAAGAATTAGTTTTTAAAAAGGTTTTTAAATTGATTTGTTTTAATTTGTTCACAAAAATCACGACAAAAGTATAAAATTCAACTTTGAGGTTATGTTCACTGTTTCTTCTTGCTGGAAAATGTGATTAAATGATAAAATGTTGTTCAATTCTGACTTTTCATGTCAAATTCAATGAATTTTTCAATGGCAATTCTCAATTTGTGTGTCAGAATACAAGATATTCAGTCAAAAAGAATAATTCTGTCAAAATCAGTCATAAAACGTCAGAAAATTCAGTAAGAAATGCAATTCTTTGAGTTATTACGATGATTTTGATCATAAAAATCACTTTTTAGTGATTTATTACATCCACAATTCCATTAAAACAGCTTAAAAGCAATTTTCTCCACTCAATTATGCAAGATTCAATTGACAGTAAATTGATGTGGAATTGACACTCTTCTGTGTGTCTCCGAAACACCTTGAAAACTCACCTATATTTACAATTTTCCACTGTGTTATTAGGTTTTCGTGGCTGTTACAGTTAAAGTATAGTGATTACACATTTCTATGTCTGCCCACAAGCGCTCAATCATTCGCAACATTCGCTGATATGGACTTTTTTCACTTCGCCTTTCACACACTTAGAAGAGAAAAAAAGATGGATTATGATGCGATATTCTCTCGCCCTCGACTCACACACTCAGTGCACGCCTTATTCAAAAGTTCCTCAATGTATTTACACAGTAATTCACGATATTGATTAGTTGGATAATATCTTGTGGATGCGAGTTTATATTGCTAAAAAAAAAAACCCCTCAAAAATAGTTCTCTCTTCTCATCAATTCTCTCTGTGTGTTTTTTCCTCCCTTATTTTTTTTTTTGACTTATTTGGCTTTTCTTCACATTCTTTTCATTCTTTTCTCCAGTTTTAACACTCGTTTGTCTGTTGTGTTGTTCTTCAAGAGCGCGCGCGATGACAGAGAAAGAGAGAAAGACGAATTTATGGGCTGAAAAAGCAATGATTTTCCAACCACGAAAAGTCTGGCTTTTTCCCCTTTTTCTTCTTTGATCAGTTTTTTCTTCTTCTCTGTTCACTAAGAAATTTTTATTTACTACAAAACGTCCAAATTGTATTGAATTTCATTGGAAAAAAAACAACAACAATAACAACACAAGCAGACGATTTGGAATGGTTTCAACGTCATTTCTCTTCACTCTCTTTCTCTCCCTTCGCGTGTGTCTTTAAGGACTTCTCACAAGAGAAGAAAATGTTTATTATTTCTCGGGTGTATTTATAATTAAATGTTCTCTCTCTCTCTCTCTATTTTCCCTTCATTATTATTATACTTTTGCTGGTTTTCGTGTTGACTCTTTTTTCTTCATTTTGTCTATTAGCAACACTTGGACTTTTTCTTAATATGCGTTTTCAATTTCACCGTGTCATTGGCAATTTGCGCATTCTGTGCATTCTGACTGAGTTTGTGCTTGAGAACCTTTTCCGTGATGGCGAAGAACATCTCCTCCACGTTCACGTTGTCTTTGGCCGACGTCTCAAACAGCTGAATGTCCATCTGACGAGCGAAGCGCTGCGCGTCCTCAGTCACCACGACCTTCCGCTCCGGGAAGTCATTCTTGTTCCCCACTGCAAAACACGCCCCGGAAAATCATCAACCGCCCCACAATTTGCCACCCACCCAAAACACTCACCCAACACTTTGTTCACCACATCACAGTTCTGCTCGATCTCCTGCAGCCAACGCTTCACGTTGGCGAACGACTCGCCGTTCGTCACGTCATAAACTATTATGACTCCGTGCGTTCCTCTGTAGTACCTGGAAAAGGAGCCAAAAAGGAGCTCTCAAAGTCATCTTCGAGTCATCAACAAAGATGCTTTATCTGATGCCATTTCGCGCACTCATTTTGCACTGGCAGAACAAGGAAAATTTGGCAAGAAAGTGCAGAATATTACGTAAAATGGCATTTTCTCATTGTAAAAACACACAATGGAACAATCGAGGTGTTCTTATTTCAGCCAGAAATACAGTCAATTCAACAAAGAATAAAGAGAAAGGAGGAAAATGTGTTTGATTATTCATTTTACACGCAAAAACTATTAAAATTGTGCATTTTATCCAAGACACAAACCAAGAAATCAAGATTTCAAGATGAAAATAGAAAAAAGTGAGAAACCAAAGAAATTCACCACTTTATTCATATTAGAATACTTAGAATCAATCCTATCATAGGCAAAATTTCTCTTTCGCTGTGAAAACTTGAATTCTTTCCCAAAGGTTTCAAATTTGACTTAAGTTTTGATAGAATTCAGATTAAAACGTGTTGAAAAGCTCAATAAGCTCAAGAAAACAATATTTCTTATGCAGAATGTAGAGAAAGTGAACTAAAAAGCTTAGAGAAACCAAAATATTCTTCGAAAAAAAGTTAAATTCAATTTTTTCTATACATTCTATCCGAGACACCTACCAAAATACCAAGATTTCAAGACAAAAGTACAATTTAAAAAGTACCAGAGCTTAACTAACTGCTCTATTTATGAAGGAATTCTGGCAAATTGGAATAGCTTGAATTATTTCTTTCATAGAATTAGCACGGACACCAAAATCTTGATCTTGAATCTTGGACAATCCGGCGCATTGAACTCTCTCTTTCGCAAACACCTCGACTGCGCCATGGAGTGTGGAATTTACATATCATTTTGCATTTTCCCACGCTTCTGAGCATCTTTTCTTGGCAAACAAACACATATTTTTTGGCGGCCAGAGAGAGACTTACGTGCTCGTGATGGTTCTGAACCTCTCCTGACCGGCCGTGTCCCAGATCTGGAGCTTCACGCGCTGCCCATTGATCACCACGGTGCGGATCTTGAAGTCCACGCCGATCGTGGTGATGTAGCTGCCCGTGAAGGTGTTGTCCGAGAACCTGATGAGCAGCGACGACTTGCCAACGCCTGAAACGAGCGCACGAGATCAATTTCCAGCACTTCTGTCGCTTCTGCGGCCGACAAATGCCCCCGAAATCTCGCGGCGTCGTAAATTGAGTAATTGCGCCCGTTGAGCGAGAGAGATTGATAAGGAATGCGGCGCGCAGGAAGAGCATTTCCTCGGCGGGAAAAGCGCCCTCGTGCGGCGCTGCCTCGGCCCATGATTAATTAGAGAGACTCAGAGAGATTAGCGATACGGGACGCCCAATCTTCGAGACATTCCGTCACAAGGGAGAGACAATCGCCCGAAATCTGTACATCATTTGCTCACAGTTCCTCAATTTATACGGAAATCAGGCGTTTCTACGTTCTTCAAGAGGAATTCTCAAGAAATTGTGAGGTTATGAACCAAAAGAATCGAAAAAAATGGTTTTTTTGGCTAATTTGTATCAATTATCTTTCTGAAAACTGACTAAAAGTATTCTGACAAATGGTTAAAAGCAGTATTTTTCAAAGAATCTGCTGAAAAACGCTGTCTCAATATCTTTTTTTAACCATAACCTCAAATAATATTAAGAGAACTTTAAGAATCTCGTTTAGAATCGAGATAGAAGGTAAAATCAGACGAAATCAATGTTTTCCAATTTGATAATGACCTAAAAATGAACATAATTTATCCCCAAGGTCATATTTTTGAGGTTATGTTTGGTTAAAACTCTGTTTCTCGCCTTTTTATTCAGCGGAAATGCTCGATTCTTGAAATTTAGGGACAATATTAATGATTTTGGAGGTTATTTTATTCTTTAACCTATCTTAAACCCGTTTTTAAATGCATCACATAACCTAGAAAAGCGCTAGAATTTTTAGAATCCTTTATAGAACCAAATATATCCAGAAGAATTTACAAAAATACGGCAATTTCCACTAAATATCATTGGTATTTCGCACTTCTCGGACTTCCACTGTTCTGTGTACACCACAGCTGATCAGAATGTCTCCACCTTGCGCCCTCATCTCTTGTCCTCTGTTTACATCGCGCTCTTTGTGCTGCGCGAGAACGAGAGTGAAATCCGAAAGGCGGAACAGAGAGAGAAAAAAGTCATGAGGTCTTCCAGTGAATGAATCACGCGCTGCCCAGCGAGAAGCTCCTTCGCCGTGGTCAATCTCGGCGCTTCCGAGAAATGCTCCACGCGATGCTGGAGCGTTAGTCATCCGCCCAAAAAAAAGCGCCCTGGAAGTCATGGAAGACGCTGGATGGCGTCCGGAAGGGCCGATTTCTGGGGCTTCAGCCGTGCGAGCGGCTGGAAATGCTGTGTGGGACCTCGAAGGTGGGCAGAGCGAGCGAAGGTGAGGTCTTGGAGGGAGATCAGCTGCTGATTAGCGCTGCCAAAGAGCCTCGGTTTGTTTGCCGAGTGTCATTGTTGGGCGCACAATTGGTGTTGATTGGAGTCGTTTGGCGAATGACGCCAAATGAGGCGGCCACGGAAGTGATGTCAGGAGCTGAGAATGCTCCTCCAGGGTCACCCAGATGTGCTCTCCACTGCCCCAGATTCGCCCCAGAGGCGCTCAATATGGAATCCCCATCCGGACACACACTTTCCCACCCAATTTCACACCACTTCCACACTGTCTGCGCACCACAAATCCCACCCAGAGCCACCGTGCAGAGTGTCTGGACAACTCACCACTGTCTCCAATGATGAGGAGCTTGAAGAGATGATCATAATCCCTGGCCATTGTTTCCTGCGCACTCCCTCAACTTCCAAGCCTCACTACAAGCACATGAAGCGCGTTTCACGGCACTTTTCCACCAGCAACGCGTCTAGCACTTGCCACACCGCACTCCTGGACACTTTTCCGGGCGGATGTCACAGGGGATTCATGGGAAAATCGAGAGGAAAAGCCACTCGCGCGATCACTCAGGCGTGTTTCTTGACAACTTTCCCGTTTCTGCATGTTTGGCCGACGCCAGCGCCAGCGGCAAGTCTGCGCATCGCACAAGTCTCCAAACTGTCATTCGAAACGTCACACTGGCCGCTTTTTTGCTGTGGGAAAACAACAAAAATCGCATTTTTGAGGGATTTTCACGTGAATTTTCCCTGCGGAAAGTGCTCTCCCGGCCTCTGGCACCCCACCCGCCTCCGAGAGTGAGTAGTATTCCTGGGATTTCCACTGGGATTGCCTGGAATATCCTTGGCGTGCATTTCTGACTCCTTTTGCTTCTCTTCATTGCAGTGGACTACGATTTGGACACTTCCGGAGGTCTCATGCCGGTAAGTGTGCAGCCACCGTGACCAGAGGTATCTCTACTAATGTGTCTTTGTGTTGTGCAGGTGATTCAGGAGCTGATAAAGCCACCAGACGAGGAGGGCGCGAAGAGTTGCAAGAAAACTCAGCATCCGTACTACAAACGTCCGGGAAGGGGGCACAATCACGACTCCTGCGACGCCTGTCGCGAGGGTGGCAATCTCATTTGCTGCGACAGGTGTCCGTCGAGCTTCCATCTGGGTTGTCAGTAAGTTTGCGCGGTGGTTTTGCCATGAGAACGTCTCTGAATGCGCGTCGTTGTGTCTTTTCAGCGATCCTCCGCTCACTGAAGAGGACATTCCGTCTGGCCAGTGGCTCTGCCACACCTGCCGGATGACCCCAAAGACGACGGTGGATCGGGGCAGCAAGAGTGAGAGTGCAGCGGAGAACTCCAGGCCGTCATCGCCTGGCGACGAGGCGAAGGAAGCGCCGCAGAAGCGTCTGTGCAAGCGAAGCAGCTCCAGAGCGTCGGCGTCCAGTGACTCCAGCGTGTCCAGGAAGGTGCTGGAGATGCGCAAGCTCACGCCCATGGAGGAGTTGATTCGTGCCGCGAGTGTACTGAATCCCAGGCAGTTTGAGTTGCCGCGCGAGCTGGAAATGCACCATCAATTCCCGGGCGATGACAAGCTGGAGCCGTCCGGGTGTCAGAGGAATGGGAATGGCAAGAAGATCACACGTCGGACGAAACCCCACGAGTTGGACGCCAATGGATTGGTTCCTCTGCCCGCCCGGACGTGCTTCACGTGCCGGAAATCCTGCAAACGCGCTCCGCTCGTCGCCTGTGACTTCTGCCCGCTCTTCTTCCACATGGACTGTCTGGATCCGCCTCTGGCCGCCCTGCCGGCCAACGTGTGGATGTGCCCGAACCACGCGGAGCACTTTGTGGACTGGAAGCTGGTGCAGAGCGACTCGCACAGCGAGAGAATCAAGCTGTGGAGCAAATTCACGGGTCCGGTGGATCAGGAAGTGGTGAAGGCGCAGTTCCTGCGGCGCGCGTACAGCAAAAACCCACCGTTCCGCGTGAAGCTGAAACCGAGGCCGCGCGACGTGGCGCAGATCCCGGAGATGATCGCCTATCACTACAGCAATCCGCCGGACTTGCTGCCGTCGCTGCGCAGCGTGATGCGCTACGAGGCGGTGAAGATGCGGGCGCAGGAGAGGCTGCAGGAGGACGCGGAGGCGCTGCCGTTGGAGGACGACAAGGAGGAGGTGGCGATCAAGGAGGAGAAGTGCCAAACGGAGGATTCCGACACACTTGAGCGCGAACTGAGTCACTTGGATGGGAATCTCATCAAATTGCTCGCCTATCAGCGCCTGCAGCAGATCATGAGTGAGAATCCGGATCTGATTGGGCGCGTGCACTACAACAATGTGGCCAAGACGATCCGGGAGTTGTCGCGATCGAATCCGCTGAAAGGCGCGCCGCTGCCCAGTGAATTGCTCTCGTCCAGCGACATTGCGCGCATCGCCAGTCTGTTCGAGTCGCCGCTCAAGGATGACAAGTCGCGCATCTGCGAGATGATCTACGGCCGCAACTCCGTGCCGCCGCGGCTGCGCGAGCCGCTGGGGCAGGAGAAGATCCGCGCGCGCGCCGTGCTCACGCCCGTCGGCGACGTGCTGTGCGCCGTGTACATGCGCTACCGCCGGCTGACGATCGGCGCCGGCGCCGGCTGCGACCTCGTGCTGGAGAACTTCGGCCGCTGCCGCCAGACGTCGCAGAAGCACGCCGTGATCTTCTTCGACGACGCCACGCAGCAGTTCGAGCTGCTCAACTACTCCGAGTTCGGCACGGAGGTGAACGGGCAGTTCTTCTCGCTGGACTTCACGGAGCGGCCGCAGGGCGAGGAGGCGCGCCGCGGCTCGCCGGAGCCGCTGGACGAGAGCAAGCGCAAGGCCAAGCGCCGGAAGAAGCACAAAAAGGAGGCGGACAAGGAGCCGGAGAAGGAGATGAACGGCGTGGACATCGAGAGTCTCGTGCGCAACGTCATCGACCGGAAGCGAGGCATCAAGAGAATCGAGCTCACGGTGGACAAGAGCGCGAGGTGAGAAAATGCTTTTCTTCATAAATGATTTTTCCACAGAAAATGCACTTTTTAAAGAATTAATTGAGAAATATGAAAATTTCCAAAATTTAAGTATGAAATTTCCTATAAATATTATACAAAATTATCTTAAAATTATTTTATTTGGTTGAAAAGTATTTATTTGATTAAAAAAAGGCAATTTTTCAAGAAGAACTTAATTATTCGGCTTTATTTAATCTTTTTTTCTAAGATTGAATGAAGATTTCCAACATTTTATTGCTAAAATGTCTTGATTTTCATATCAAACTTTTTTTCAATTAATTTTCATATTCAAAAAGTAAATATTTTTGCAAAAATTCACTATTTTTTTCAAAACCAGTTGTATAAATTGATATTTTATCAATTTAACAAAGCCAAATTAAAAAAAAAAATAAATAAAAATACAGTGAAATGTACTTAAATTTTAAATAATTAATAATTTCATTTTCAAAAAAGCCAATAAAAATTAACACTTGGAAGATAAAAGCGATTAATATTAAAATATAATAATTTTTTAAAAAGATTATAATAATTTGGCTTCATTAAATATATTTTTCTAAGATTTCGTGAAGATTTCCAAAATTTTATTGCTAAAATGTCATGATTTTCATATAATTTTTTTTTTAAATAAATTTTTACAGTGGAAAAGTAAATATTTTAAATTATTTTGTAAATAAATTAAAAATTTCTTTTTCAAAAAACCAATGAAAAATCAACCCTTCGAATATAAATGCAAATTATATATTAAAATATAACAATTTATTGGAAATTCAGTGAGAAAAACACGTTGAAAATCCTTCAATTTCTCTGCAATTCTGTAAGGAATTAATTTCAATGAATGTAATTTGATGGATTTCAGCATGGCGGCGCCGGAGCAGTTTCCGTGCAACTGCGCGAGTCGCTTGCCGCTGACGGCGGGCTGGGAAGGATCTGCGATCCTGAAGCACGGCTATTTGCTGCGCTTCGGCTGTCTGGCCTTCGTCTTCTCCGTGATCGACGAGGCGCCGCTGGACGCCGTGGATTGAGGCGCCGCCGGCGCTGCATGCTAGCTAAATCGGATTGTAGGTGAAGTTTAGGATTAAGTCCTGTTCAAAAAACTGTACGTTAAATTGTCCCTCTTTTGCCAATAAATATTCCTCTGTGAGATGCTCAAGCGTTGCAAGGTCATTAATAAGTTGCTGAAGCGGGATTTGGTCGTCGTCTCGCTGGTGGAGGAGGAAGAAAAGCTCCTTGTGTTAAGTCCCAAAAGTAATTTATGTGTGTAAATTGCGAGTGTGTGTGAAGGAATTCTCATTTCCCTGGCTGTGGATTAAAATAATGGTCATCATCGGGCGTCTGCGAGTTTTGCCCCCAAGTTTCCCTTCTATTGCTATTTATGGCTGCGAAAGGGAAATTGATCCTGTTTCCTCTGTCGACACACGAAGCTTGTGGCGTGAAATTTACGAGTCACGCCGAGGTGTGCGCTTATGGTAATTCTTTTATAAATGCTCAACTGCTGCTTTATGAGCTCTTGTCCTCCGCAGCTTCTGACTTTTATCGCGCGCCAAAAGGGAGATAAAAGTCAAGGGCGCTGCAAATTGAGCCCACTTTTCACGCTGCGATGCACAAGATATGCAAAATAATTACTTTATTCCCCATCTAAACTGTTCAGCGCCAACTCCTTGAGGAGAATGTGAGTTAAGAACTCGTTCTTCTTCGCCTTGCGTAAGGATGGGATTTTGCGAGGAGAGATATTAATATTGTCACACTTTCTTCACTATCTTTCTTCCGGAGAAATCTTGAGTAAATTGAAATTTGGCACAGAAAATTGACTAGCAATCATCTTTCTAGTTCACATTCATATCGTTGCTCATGCAAATGTGGAGGTTTTCGAATGTTTTCAGTCTAATTCTGCTAAACGGGTAAAATTCTCAAGCTTTGTTCTAATTCTACATCCATAGCGCCAGAAATCTTGGAGATATCTCCCAAGTATCCTAAAACTTAACTGAAATCTAACTGACAATTTTATATCTCTACTTTTTAGACTGTCTTAAAGAAAGTTTCATACAATATTTGATGATTTTCTGCTTTAAATTGCACTTTTTCGACACTGAATTCATAATTAGAATACTTTTAGCTAAAAATTTTCGTGTTGTGAGGTGAAATTTTGAGGTTATGTTTCATTTGAACCCTCTAAACTTTCACAATCGCTAGTTTTATTGAGTTTATTACATGATTTTATGTTATTAAATGAAAACAACTTCGTTTTCAATGGAAGAAATTCTATTTTAAACTCTTTTTTCATCTTTAATAATTCACATAACCTAGAAAATATACGTCAAAACTACGATTTGGATAAAAATTTTGATTCTGAGAGTGAAATAATCAGCAGAAAATCAACGATTGTGAACCAAATATTGTATAAATTGAAGCACTTCCATTTCCTTAAACTTCTACGGATCTGTACACCACTTCTGGCCATATTATCTCCCCCTTGGTCAGGTCCTCGAGTCTCGTTGTGCCGAATGAGAAGAGCTTTAAAGCGCTTGAATGTCTTTAAAATAGAGAAAAACTCAAAAATTCCTTCATAATCTGTGAAGAAAATTCGACTAATATTATTCACGTGCACAAAATTGTGTTTAAAATGAGAAACTTTATCAAATTGTGTACATTATTTCCTATCAAAATGTGTTTTTTGCTTGAAACTTCGCTAAGACACAAAGTCAATCGTTGAGCTTCCCTGAATGTAAAAGTTGTCTTGCTTATCATATCATTGTTTTATGCTTTTCATAAACAATTAGTGGGAAAAATGTTTATAATATAGAGGAAATAATGCAAGAATTGCTGGTAATAATGCAGCAATTTCTGTATTACTTACTCGACTGCACATTTTCCCAAGACTTTTCCTTCACAATTGCCGCATCTCGTTAATTCTGCGTCCTTTTTTCCTCCCCCAATTATGGGCCTCGCTAGAGTTTCTTTTGATTTGCAGCAAATTCAATTTGTGCCGCAGAATTGCAGCAAATTGGTGTCAATTTCCACTTAGTCAAAGGCGAGCTTTGAAGGGAAGTTTTCATGTTTCTTCATCAATGGCCGAAATGTAAATGGCGTGTTCAGTCGAATGACAATTTAATTACCAGCCAAGCAAAGGAGGCTCGAGTGGGCGAGAGAAAGTGCGTTGATGATGTTGTGTTCGGTGGTGTGAGTTTGATTATGAATGAAGGAATATCAGCCTGAAAGGGATTTTCCGGCGAAGAGCTGGAGGAAAACCACCGAGTCAGACAATGAAGAAGCGATAAGAATCAAGGGAAATTATTTTCTATTATACCGCCCCCAAAAATCCACCCCATCAACCGAGAGAGAGAGAGAGAGGGAGAGAGCTGTCTTGCCGATGATGAAGAGGGTAACTTTTGGATAATAAAAGATAAACGTTTATCGTGGCAATTGCGGACATTGAGACGAAAAGCTCTCCACTCTTCTCCTGGCCAAATCGAATGCAATCTCTATCTTTGGCAATATATTCACGCTCGTGCCTTGCTCTTTAGGGGATGGGGTGAGTTTGTGGCCACAGAAAATATGTACATAATTTATATTTTTGTCACGAAGCCAGAAACTATAAAATATCTCTATACGTCTTCGGAAGTCGTGGCGAAGCCATGAGATCGCCTTTAGTGGCTCTTCACGCTCTGGGTCACACTCTCGATGACCTCCTCGTCCGCCCACGACTTCGTCCTGGTGATAAAAAATGGCCGTGGAGTCCGCAATCCTCGCAACGAGGGACAATCATTGATTCGAGTGCACAGAATGCAGCTGCAAATTGATACAAATTTCCACTCGAGGAAACTTTAGATGGGAAAAATTTCTTGCATTCGCATTGAATTCATATCAAAGCTCTTATCTTTTCACCCCCGATAGAGAGGGAAAAGTGAAACAAAGTCAGCAGCTTTTGTTGCGAGGATTGTGAGAAAACGAGCAGAATTTAGTGCAAGACAACAAAGGTTGTATTTTATAGAGAGAGCTTTGGCAAAGCTCGCAAATATATATTGTATGCATCGCATTAATACACCTGAGAAATTACAATATTGCAAAAACCCTTATTAAAACCGTCTTTACTCGTTGGATTTCACGGAATTTGAGAGCTTAAATTTCACATTTTGCTATCAGTTTGAGAAAATGAAGGATCGTGAAGTGAAGAAAGTGCTGAGAAATTAACAATCTAGAGACTAATTAGTCCATACTTATCAACAGAAGTTCCATTTTTCCTCTAAAATAATGTTGAAGAAGGAATTTTCTTCATTTTGCATCGATAAGTAGCAGTGTGGAATTCAATTTTTGATCATTCAAAGCGAAATTTGCCTGTGACGCTGTCAGAAACGGCGCCATATTGGATGAATTTTGAACGCCAGTTAATTTTTGTGTTATTTTAGGTTAAATCGGGCTTAAAACTGAAGCTTTGCCATATTCAACCGGTTGAATAGATGAATTAGACTGAAGATGTAGGAAAACCTTCACATTTGCGTGGCCAAAGATATGAACGTGAACTAGAAACACGATTGCTGTGCCGATAATTCTTTCCCAGCATTCTCTCAATCGTATTTGTCGTGTGTTTCCCTTGAGATTAGGGCGATGTACACCACTTCCCGTGCAGATTGAGGCACGCCTTGTCCGCCTTCCGCTCGGATGGCTGACAAAAGCTCGCGCGATGATGGTGAGATGATAATAAATTTTAAATGTGCGGCTCTGCGCCCTATTAGGGCGACTGTGCCTCACATGGCGTCTTTCTCACAAAGTTCCGTGCGTGTTGCGCGCGCGAGAGAGTTTGTCTGGCATGTAAATTGCGAGATGTGTATGTAAATGCTGAGTGGTTATAGAAGATTAGTGACAAAGATAATATTCTCAAGTGTAAGAAGAATTCTAGTCATCTAAGAGTTATTCGGGATTATGTCACATTCCATAAGTTTTCTCATACATATTTATTTGGGCGGAAGGCACAATCGCGAGGCATGAATTTTCCTCCCCAGACAACAGCATCACCAAAAAAAAATGCTTTTCCCACTCCGTTTGCGTCGGCAAAATTTGCAGACGAGGGATTTCTGCCGAAATTTATGCTCTTCTCTTCAGACAATAGCGCCTAATTCCCTTTTTCCTTCTGTATTATTAAAGCTCTACGATGTGTGTGTGATATTTTTTTTTAAAAATGGCTGCGTAACGGTCGAACCCAGCTGACCAACTGAAGCTTAATGAGTAGATATTAAAAAAACACCCCCTTTTTCACCGGCTTATCAATAAATTCGGGGGGAATTTCAAGCCTAAATGAGTGTAAATAAATTGCAAATTCTTTGCAATAAATTCCACGTCGACGCTATAATTAGCAAAACTCTCACAATTCCGCTGATGGAAGTCTTCAATATTTAATTAATTTCCATTGGAGATTTAATATTTCGTGCCGAAGGTATATAAAGAAAAAAATCCTCCTCATCCGCACTCAAACATACTTTTTCATCATCTCTTTCACTTCCATTTGTCGAGGGTTTTCCTTTCCCACCCACAATTTTTGCAAATATTGTGACTCAAATTTCAATTACAGCATGAAAATAACACGCAAATATACCAGCAATTTTTTTACGAGCCTGATTTTCCATGTTCTCGCTTTTCCCCTCAGCTCAGGTCTCGTTTTTTTTCTCCACCACCGGCAAGTCAGTGGCACATAAATGCGGAGGGAGGATTGGAAAATGCTGCTGTAGTGGCTTCTTTAATTTCCCTGAAATAACCAGCAACGCGTGTTCCGCCGAACCAGACGAAATGTTCCACCCCCTCTTCCAACCCCTCCAGATAAAACCAAAAAGTCTCTGCATCCCACGGGAAATCGTATCAATAAAAAGTTATTTAATTTAAAATAAAATTAACACATTTCGCCCAACAACAGGCAGAAAGTTTTTCTGCAAGTCCATTTGAGTGGTTTTTCTGACTCTCCACCACTCTCCGAAACTTCTTCAGGGGGGTTGGATTTTCTCAATTTTCTCTCATTGCGCCCCCAAAAAACGGGGATATAAAAAAACAGGGCAAAAAATCGGCAAAACAATGTACTAAAGGACTTTTTTTATTGTAATTATTGAAATGTTCCGCCTCAATTAGCAGTTGGATGATGTTCTTTCTCTCCGTGCTCT